CACTGAAAGTTGTGACCTGAAGAGGATTGCTTAGAATCTACCTGAAGGTTAAATTGAGTGTAGGCAAGTTATGGCAAGTTTAAGAGATTTCTGCTGCAGTAGAGACATATCTCGAAGTGACCTATTTGGATCCTTTCAAATAATTATTTTCTAAATATAAAAGAGTTGTTATGAGAGACTTAAAACAGATTTTGAACGATTTTGAACAATCTTGAGTGCAGATGACAGTTGCAGCGATTTGAAAGCTGAGGCAAAAGAATGGATAGTATTCTGTGGTAAGTACAGTTGGATTGAACAATCCAACTGGAATCCATCTTTGGAATGTAATGAACGAATAATCTTGAAATTTCTGGATTATCTCTATAGTCCAACGGGCAGGAAAGCTAAACTTGATCTTGGAGAAACCGTTCTGAGAGGTCGAATGAAGCGCATGGCAGACTTGGGTGTCATCGAAGATGAAGAGACAGCTCGGACAAAGGTCAGACATTCTTACTCCTGACGTAAAGATTTTCCAATTTGTAATGTTTATGTTACAATTACAGATATTGCAGTTTGGATATGATCTAAGAGTATTGTGCTTGTTATTTTTTTCAGGGTGAGATTTCAAAGTCAGCTCTTGATGAATCAGAGATGTATGGTTCCGTAGAGCCCATACATCCATTTTTTATGTCTGTACATATATCACTGGAAGTTGAAAAGTGGGGAGCGAAGGTTGAAGTCAAGAGGATGGATGCAAAAAAACGAAATCTTCTCTTGGAGTGGGGAGAGAAGTATACGGCAGACGAACTTTATACGGCAGACGCCTCATATAAGATCCGTGTCAACACACTTGAAAACAAAGGGTCGGTGAAATGGGCTGTTACTGCCAACAAGTGGTGGAATAAAGTTGAACTGTTTGCAACAGCGATGTCTCTTGTTAAGGATCTTAGCAAAAGACCAGAACGTGATCACGGCGAAAAACGTGCAAGTAAGATGGTTCCCAAGCATTTTCTTTGAGCTTTAACTTTAACTGAAATATGTTGTATCAAAATGATAATATATGCGATTGAGTTGCTGTTATTACAGATAGGAGAACTCGTTCTTCAGATGATAACATGGATGTAGGCGCCAAGAGAAAGCCACCTGGTGAGAGGACACGACGTGCTAACATATGGCGATGAATTGAAAGTCGTACGTGGACTTCGATACTGGTTAGTTTCACTTACAAAAGTCTTCAATGGCAATTTTCAGACCTGTTTTTTTTTCCACTCTACCTAGATAGGCTCCAATGTAGCTCGAAAGAAGTGGTAGCTGATTTGCACATGTACATTTCAGCTTTTTGACCATGGGGCAAAGTATCCAAGTTATATGCTGAAGTCTTGCTGTTGTGATTTCTGGTTCTAGTTGGCAGTGAAGTAGAGCACCATTAAACTTGAGACTGGCTTCTGGTTGAAAGCTACACTGAGTGACTTGACCTGAATTCTGAAGTGGACAAAGTCGTTGTGACAATAGTTCCTAATTGTAGAATTCAGGTGTTATGCTTAATTTATGTTACATTGAATGCATGTGTTTAAGAGACTTTGGGAATTTTTGTTTGTGCTGAACTTGAATTCTCACAAGCTCTCAACGCCATAAGTGTCTGCTCCCCTCCCTCCATCCTTTGCATCTGTTTGTTCTCTGATGGTGCAGCTGACCATTTCTATAAGTAGATTTCGCACGAGATATGTAATTCGCCTCGATTTCAGGTTTTGTCTCATCCGACAGAAGTTGCCAGTTATCAGACGATGTACTCAAAAGCTGGCAGAAGTTCCATCAGAGTAGCTCTGCAGAATACGTCTGTCTATTATATATCAGAAATTTTTCATGAGTCATTTGAGTTTTACATAATTCACCTGAACTTAGGACAAATATGTCTCTCGTTCTTCTCTAAATTCCGGTTTGCTGACTTTGATAGCTGCTGCCCGATGAGGTCCATGGATATATTCGACAACTCAGAGATGATAGGGTACTTATCATCCGCCGGTTTCTATATATTGGACACATGTTTGCAATTCATGCTTGATTAACCTGTAAACATGTATGGTGGCTTATGTACTCATGGCGTTACATTCATAAAATCACCGTTCTTGGATTTTGGGACGGTCGATCAATATCTGATTATAATTTTGTTTTTTTTGATACAGCTTTGAGGGTGCCAACGAAGGATGCAAGTGAGGTGACAAGTGCTCATGCAACCCTTGCAACTGCAAATGAGAGAGAACACCTCCAAATTATGCTGTTTATATTCCTTGAGAACTCTCATGACGAAAATAGGAAGACGTATACAGTACTTTTGTCAGAATTTGGAGAATTATTCTCGAACTCAATGTAATATCACACTAAACCCTACATCACAGAACCATGTGTATATCTGACGACATAAATAAAGTCAGCAGAAGCATCTGCTGTAAGATTTCTGGTCATAGGTGTGTTGTGTGAACTTACTGCATGCTTGAGTGAATCAAGTTAGACCTTGGCTAGTAAGTACGGAGAGTAGTGAGGACTGATTCGACAGAGGCTTGTAATAGCCAAAAGGGTGGCGAGTTCCAAATACAGGTTTTGTCTCATCCGACAGAAGTTGCCAGTTATCAGACGATGTACTCAAAACCTGGCAGAAGTTCCATAAGAGTAGCTTTGCAGAATACGTCTGCCTATTATATATCAGAAATTTTTCATGCGTCATTTGAGTTTTAAATAATTCACCTGAACTTAGGACAAATATGTCTCTCGTTCTTCTCTAAATTCCGGTTTGCTGACTTTGATAGCTGCTCCCTGATGAGGCTCATGGGCACATTCGACAACTCGGAGATGAGAGGGTACTTATCATCCTCAAAAAATAAAGTTTTGAAAAAATACGGAAGAAAATAGAATTTGAGTCTTGAGAATGAGAGAATGTAAATCGTGCGGGCTTGTCTCGACCAATAATTCTGACCTGTCTGTAACCCAATGTTTAGATCAGAATGAGAACATGCTTACAATTTGTATTGCGCAGCAATATGAACCAAACTGAAGGAGCTCCACATCTCAACTCTCTGGCTATTATATGTTTATCTGATCTCTGGCTATTCAACGATACATCCAAATAACTCTAGAAGCTATCAAGAGGAGCATTTATATTCCAACCGAGAACCTCAAGTCAAAGGTGCACTTCAGTTCTCGGGCCATGTAATTCGAAGCACCATGACAGACCTTGAGAAATATGGCTCTCGAAGTCAGTCCTAGAAGGTTAACATATCAGACAGAACCCTTCTCATTGATCCGGAGACATCGAAGCTCAAAAGTTTCTGAGTGACAATGTCCGCGTTTCTGGACATTTCAGGAGTGCTTTCCCTTTGATAGAAACAGGCTGAAGGTTTCAGCATTTAGAAAGTAGAGGACTGAACACGAAACTTGAAGACCATGAACTCCACAATTGGGTGAACCAATGTACTAGATATCACCTGCTCGGCAAGAAGATCTCTCCTCGAAGTTCCCCAACTATCACCAGCGCACTTTGAACCAGCGAGTCAAGAAAAAATTTGAATGTTACTCCTATCCCTGACTCGTGTTTGAAACGACCTTTTTCTAGCATAGTCAACCATCGCTGTTGGATCATCCACACCGACTTTATCAATGTGCCGAGTTGCTCTCTTCAAAGTGATACGTCGATTCAGGTCTTGATTCAGAAAGACTAACTGGCGAATTGTGACTTGCCTATTCGGTCCATTCTCCGGTGGATTCATGTGCTCAGGTAGCAGGGGAAGAAGGGAAAAGCACGAAGAGAAACATTTTCAAGGTGGTCGACACAGTTTCAAACATCGGTTGAACAATTCTGCTGTGAAAAACTATGGTCGTCAGTATGACGTCGACCAGGTTGTGAGAATAGGGATTCCCTCATAGTTGAGTGCGGATGGATGCCCATATGTTCTTATAGTCCATCGCTAGATCCGTCTGCCGGAAAGCGGAGCGATCTACTTCAGTCACTTTGATGCTCCACCGGAAAACTGAGTGCCAATCAAAAACCTGCCCGGTTAGTCTGCCCGCACATTCTTCCATCTTTGGTCCAAAGGAGTAGAGTCAGAGCGAAAAGAAGAACTTCCGTTACGGCTCACTGCAGGATGACACCTGCCTGGGTCTATGCAGGCCCTATATAGGGGCTATATATAAGTTTGTGCAGCTAAACCCGTCCCATATGTTTGGTGAAGAATGTTCATACGTCATCAAAAAAGGATTGCTTTTTGACTTACGAAACCTGGAAATAGCTCCTTTGCCAATCTTTGATCAACTGAGATTTGGGTCAAGGCCGATCCACCATAGTCAAAGGATGATTGGGCAAGAATCAAGGTTCTGGCCCAATCAAGCGTAGCACTGCATCTCAACTAAAATCTCATCACTTCATTCTCAGCTAAAATACCAACAGTGCATGAAGCTCTAACTCAAATTGTACTGCTGGCCATAGTCATCCCAATGAAACTACTAGCCCTTATATCACTCCCAGTGCACTAGCTCTTATCTACAGTATGATGAGTGGTGACGCTAAAGGAGTCATGTCACACTCCAACTTCCAACGAAGTCAAATCTGAACTCATTTGACAAAATGTACCGTTGGGGTTCTTCATGGCGGATGCCTGCAACTTGGTGACTATGAAGTAGTTGACAAACGGTTTGTCTTCCCGTCTGAACTGCGTCGTGGCCATGCATGATCCAACTTGCATCCCTGCCACAAGCTTACACTGCAGTTGAACCTCGTACCCAAGTTCCACCTTCATGACAATAATGCGTCTCACGAACTTGTCGAAACTACACATACTACATACATACTTTAAATAAACTATGTATGTAGTATTGTACACATGAATGAGAAAGAGGATTTCAATGAATGATGCCATTCAGCTCATTTATTGATATTCTCTCTCTGAATGGCATCATTCTCTTCCCGTTACAGTATAGTATATTTGACTTAAGATACATTTCATTACAAACATCTTATTAAAAATATATTCCTGTCATTTTGTATCCATTGTTATATAGTATTTACATTCATAAAAAACGCCTTCCCATGTTGCATGTATATTGGTCAGATGTATCAAAACGATAGAATATATCACATATTCTATCGCTGACATATTTTATATATGTCAACGTGCCCTCGTTTTACTCCCTATTGTTTCATCCATGTCTGACTTGATCGGGTGTTCCTCATCAAGCTCGTATCTACTTATTATAGGGACCCGGCAGGCAACGTCGACCGAGCGCCAAAGAGCCTTCTTCGAAACTGAGTCCACGGCCACACTCCGGAGCATGGGGAAGAAGTCAAAGCAATTGACTTCTTCTCCACGATTAGCAGAATTGGCCAATTTCTTCAACCCCTCCCGTTGACCCAATCAGATCTGGACGCCAGCACCAGCTTCTCGAGAATTGCAATTAACCAAAGCCATCGAGCGGATTCTCTGTGTAACACTTGCTCCGAGCTGTTCCAAATACACAGAGACGTGAGTGGGATCCGATAGCACCCATTCCCACTCCCAACTAGTTTTTATCCCGCTCCAAGAAGAGTGGAATTTTACAGTCTCCTCAAATTTACGGAAAGCGCGTTCTGTCCATGACTTCGTCGCTTATACGCCCACTGCCACAGCACCGGAGACTCGGACATCAAGAAACTTGAGCTATGGGTCCAGACGTTTGCACCCTTGGCAGAATGTTTGCTCGTTGACAGGTTGGGATCTTCTGTCAGTGACATTCCTCGTCGACCGAGTATACGCTGTATCGAGTTCCTGTACGTGACTATACGATTTTTGTCTACGGCTGAAATCGAGGCCAAATTCATCCCGCAGGTGATGCAGGATCTGTGAAGAGGTTCAGAAATGGTGGCATCGAAGATCTCCAGCACGGCGGTGATGGCTGTGCTGATCTTCGCTGAACTATTGCACAGCGCTTCGGCTGTGACGCACACAGTGACTTGGACGTATGCGGAAAACGCTACGCAGTTCGATCAATGGGCCAGCGCTCAGACCTTTCAAGTCGCTGATATCATTCGTGAGTTTCTAAATTTGTGCTCAGTGTATCCAAGTTTGCATTCTGGCATCTAATTGGCATCTAATTAGCGAGTGACTCTTGCGAGACATTGGAAGGCGTGTTACGGAAGTTTAGCGCTTTGATATCAGAACAGATTTTGGTTCAAGCTGCTAGCCGAGGACGATCCGCAAGAAGAGTTTCAATGATAACTAATTTGTTCGATGATAACTAAGCCAACGCGTGGAATATTATTCCAGTAGACTGAAATCTCAACTTACGTGCAACATGATCACTTTTCCGACATGTTTTGATTTGACATGCGCTCTTAAACATCTTTGCTCGATGACCTTGTGACCACGAGCTCGATGAATCTGCAGATTTCGATTACGACAGCAGCCACAATGTTTTCGAAGTGACCAAAGCGGACGTGGAAAGCTGTAACTTGAACAATCCAATTGTGCAATACAAGACGGTGGGTGCAAATGTTACCTTGGTCAGATCCGGGTACTTTGGCTTCATCTGCGGCGTTCCAGGCCACTGCGACAGCGGATTTATGAAGATGAATGTGCAAGTTCTGGCTGCAAACTCCTCTTCCCCTCCATCTGCCACTCCCTCTCCTTCTCCTTCTCCTTCTCCTTCCCCATCTCCAACCTCTTCTTCTCCTGGACCAGGTCCCGTCTCTTCACCAACTGCTGCTCCTCCCATCTCCGCACCAACTGATTCTCCTCCTCCCTCGATTTCTCTTTTACCTTCCGATGCTTCCAGCCTGCGGTCCCGAGCAGTGATGATCGTCGGAGCTTTGGTGGCTGGCTGCACAGCTGTCTTTGCTTGAGCGGACATAGACATACATAGTCTGACGACTATTATCAGCTTGTAGCTTGAAGTCTCTCATTCAGCAAGAAGTTGCAACCCTGTCGCGCTATCTGAAAGGAATCTGTCGGACCATAAAGAGAACATTGCAATATCCTAAATTGGAGATGATTTCTAGAATTGCAAACTAGAGGTCAGTGTGGCAAATAAATCAGTTAATGACTATTCAGTGCCGCGCTTGTAATCGGCGAGTTGCCTTTCTACCGACGCTGCTCGGTTTTAGTCGTACGTTGCATTGGTTATCTTGTGGGTGGCTTTAAAACAGGAGAAGAACTGGAGAAGGATGACAACTATCCAGACATGCGAGGCAAAGCATAGAGAGGTTGATTTGCCAAGCCAAGCAGTACCATCCAATCACTGTTGAACGGCGTACTGACACAACATGGATTGAAGCTCTGAAAATCTTATCACCAAATCGCAGTCGCAGACTGAATGCTATGTGCTTGATAAAACTTACGCGTTCAGCGCAGGCTTCCTCGGGACCTGAAGGCAAAATGCTGGTCTGTCACCGTGTGACTGCTGCCGAGTCACTTGTATCTTCAACGCCCCTGTAACATAACAGAAAAGTGAGTCGTAAGAAGCTCACTCCCAGTCTTGTATGTTGGATTCATCCTGGGGTAACAAATCACGGGCACTCTGATAATTCTATCATACAGCTAAATGGCCACCACAAACAGCGCCTACTCTCTGGATGAACCTTTCTGTTGTAGTAACCACTTGACTGACCTTCCACTCCGAAACGCAAGTCTACGGCGATCTCTTAAGTCTGGCATGATTACATTGTGCGAGGACGTGAACTTAGAACGCAAGGTTACAATGGAGACATGGACGACGAGCCAGAAAACCTTTGGTGGCACATTCAGATGCAGGCTGCCTTGTTACAGTCCAGGCCTTGTTTTTACATGGAGAGACGTCGTTGCCTCGACTTGTACTCGCCTTCCCATCTGAAACTCGGGACAAATCAAAAGCACGGCATACAACACACTGCACGCCATTTGAAGAGCTTAGAAGTGCTTTCTGCAACCTTACGCCATCTGGAAGGCACTCAACTGGCAACAGAAGCAACTTCTCTGTCTTTCGATACTTCAGCCTTAGCCTTCCCCTCACCTAAAAAGTCCACTAATCATGCTTGACTTTACAATCACTCTTATGTAATGGAGGGTGTCGATTACAATATGACTCCTCTCGAATGGTTGCAGTGCTCTTTACATGATGGAGGTCGAGAACAAAGACATGGGAACAAATTTCCACAACAGGAAATTCTAATAATCTGCATTTTGCAACCTCTGTCTGTCAGATGAGCCACAGTACCACCAGCTTGGCCGCATGTCACTAATTATTGAAATTTCTCGGTAGGTTACTGACGAAGAGATCAGGCTGGGAGGACTAAACCACTAAAGACTGGACAAATGTTTTGTACAAGTACTGCAGCAGCTCGAATGAACATAGCTGCTCTGACGCCTCAGCACCTTATCGAAGATATATAGAATATGCCAACGTTTCTTCCAGAATTTGAAGGACCTGTTCTCCGCGTGTCTTCGGGAGCCTAGATACAAACCACTCTAGATCAATGAAAGTTTCACAAAACTTACATTGATCTAGAGTGGATTGTATTAGTAGATCAAGCTATAGTCAGCTATAGTAGATCAAGCTTCATTTCGAGGGAATTTAGAGCGCCAGATAAATGGACCATCTTGAAAGGGGAGAGCTCACAGTCGGAATAGCTAGGTTCGCTGGATCTTACACCATCGGCAGATTTTGCTCTTGAGAATCTCAACCTTCAGGAGAAGAGGTCACACTTTCTGCTCAAGCTCGAACGGTGAAGGAACTGAATGCTGATGCATGAAAGATGACGTATACAATGCACGTATGTAAATGGAGGAATGACACCAACCTTTTAATGAGCTCACTCCTGGCAGACTAGAATACAACGCCAGAAGTTCCTCGAGACCACACTCCAGCTAAGACTCGACAACGTCATGTTGTTGACTGACATTTGTACGCATAAAAGGGATCGTCAGCAATTATGGGATACATGCTCATGATGAAGATTGTAGGCCTAAACTTCATGCCAAGAGAAAAATGACCTTGATAGATCCGGCTGGCGTGAGAGCGCAGGTCCTGACCCATGAAGGAAATCTATGAGAGTCTGAGCACTTCTGATCCGAGGAACAGATGGGACATTGAAACATTGCCGCCTGCGCTTGAGTTGAGAAGACCTCGAAGGCTTTGATGCTGGTATGTCATGCTCGGTCCATTTTGCAGGTTTAGTTTTGAGAACCTTAGGGTGCGGCAGAAGGTAGATACTGTACAGACCTCTTCAGAAAGATACAACTCAGTCGCATCCTGAACGTCATTGACTGACGGCCCTGGACATTAGAACTAGAGTAGATCCATCCGCCCAAAGCCGTAAGCATATTGCAGGAGTCCCAGTTGTTCTTAAACGAGGGTCATGTTGCTGGGTCGTTAGACTGTGTACCGAGTGAAAGGTCTGTCTACCTGTTTCGGAAGCAAGCTGTCAGAAACCAAAGCATTGGTCTCGTGATCCGCAAAGATGGAAAGTAAATCTAGAGTACGTCTCTGTCGTGTCGGTTTTTAAAGTTCCCAGTACCTGCAAGAACGATGTCTTCGACAGAATGCTCATGGCAACTTGATGTCTTGGATCCTTGGCACCACATCCTTGTACAGACACTCGGTTTCATGTTGTGCCTTATTATTGTACTCTGGACAATAAGCAAGTCAGAATGACATTTTGAATTATGGACAATAACCTCGTCAGAACTGTGTATTGTATTATAGCATAGAATGGAGTGTAATGCCAGACCAGAATGTCTGACTCGTCCAAGGCTGCTGGCCTAAGGACTTGGTGTATATAAAGGCTGAAGTACCACCTTTTTCATTACCAATCGTACATCACTCTCTCAGACTCTGCTCTCATCCCTCCGAGTGCCAGTAGGTCTCTGAATCCGGTACGTAGGGTACAGCGAGTCCGTTCTACGGTGTCTGAACTTATGACACCGACGTTCGTAAGCTGTTCTATGCTGGCCGTGGTCTACAGACTCGACTGTAGACATTCACGCACCAATCTCTAAGGAATCGGCCTTTCCATCGAACTTCGCAATCTCCTTGGAATATATCCGTATAGCAGACGCATACCGTACATCTTTTAGTATGCGAAACCACTTCTTGCAGATCTGCTGTCTGTTCTGTACAGTTTCTTCGTTTGCCCTGCAAGCTCAAATTCTACCTTGTGACGAGATCGACATTGTGAGGACATCTCCATCTCCCAAATTCACTACGCAGTCAGCAGGAAATGAACTCTGCAGTGAAAGTGCAGTGCTGTGCCAATGATCACAAGGTTGGATCATGAAGAGATCGAAGGCAGATCAGAGAAGTGGAGGTTGTGAACGACCTGTTCGAATGAAAAGACGTGCGGGGAGAAGAGCTGACTTTTGATATAGACAGTAAACGATAAGATTTCTCGATAAGCTCGAATGTCATCGCTGCGCCAGCTACAACCTCCACTTCGGCTAGAATGCCGTCTGACTTGGCTCAACATCGGCATGCAGGGAGAGGTTTCAGATCATTAAGCTGGAAAAATGAACAGAGTGAAACAGCAGCAATGGAGTGTGGTCTGCAGAGAACAGGTTAGTCCTTATCCGGTGGTACCGTACACTGTGCAATTCTGAAGAATCTGAGCCCGATGCACTCATGACTCATGACATATGACCACGTCCAGCCTGGAAGCTACTCGGCTCACTCACTCACTCACTGAGGTCTCAATTAGGCTCACATCAAAAGATTAGCAAGTGGAGAAGACTCCAACACGAAGAGCTTAAGGTTGCAGAATCTTCATGGTTAAATTTAGATCACATTAAATCGGCATGCTTAGTGGCAGATGATTTGGGGTACATGACAGCTAAGAACGTGATGCTGTAATGTAGTCCAGCAGTAATACGGCCAGGCTAACACGTAATTTCTCACATGTTCCTTACTTGCCTGTACCATGAAGGTGGAGCTTTCAAGAAACGTCCCAACAGTGTGGATTCTCAGGAGGGGAGACGATGCCATTGGCACAGAGTTGTGATCAAAGTCAGAGCAGAGTCTATACAGTGACGGAATCCCCCCATAGTCGTCTTTGAGAGGCTGTCAGCTGATTGATGTGTGCACGCAGTTTGAGAGAGGTCGTTGTAGACTGCAGATTGCAATTTGTTGTTAAACTCTTCCTCTTGTGCTAGGATGTAGAAAAGCAAACTGAAAGAACACAAAGGAAAAGATGTTCAAGCCTCTCGAAAATATTCTGTACATTTGTAATGTATTTTGAAGGGTAAGCTCGAGATCGGATGAGAGCTTTCTAAATTCACTGTTTAGTAATACCTAGCCCACGTGGCAAGAATGAATATGAGCTGACCACTAAACCCTCGTATCATTTGCTCAGAAAATATTCTCTTCAGATGTTCTAGAAGACTTTATAGGATGACATAGAACACATAAAAGGGTGTCCATACCCGATATCAATTACTTGCACTTTCGATCCGTCCATCCGTAGAAACAAATGCTGAGAAGCATAAGTCTTTGACTCCTAGACGAAATCAAACTTGAGACTCACTTCTATTCAGCATAAATGTGACCTGATTGTGGTTGTTTGATTGCTCTCCTTCTTGCAAATGTTGGTATACATAATTTCTACCTGACTTAAAGTTCTCTTCAAAGCTAACTCTTTGACAAAATGTCTAATTACAAGTGATAGTTTGTATATGTACAGGCTTGGTGTCAAACTCTCATTTCAGAAGAAGAACATGACGTTTACTTTATTTCACTATAATTTTCCCAACACTAGAAAGATTAGGAAAAAAAAATTACATTTATTTTGAATATTGAAATATTTTTTCTCATGTAGCGCCTTAAAATTCAGAAGCTGATTCAATTTCCACTTCAAGAAGCTTCAAAATTTGAAGAGATTAACATTCTCTAATTTTTTGCTTCTCAAGAGAAGCATTTATGTTAAATTGAGATTTGCAAACATATGAATGAAAATTTTATTCATGACATAAAACCGTACATAGAACTTGACGTTTATTATATCTTTTATTTTCCCGAGTTTCTACATGCCCTGGAGTGATAAAATATCAAATTACTTGTGACAAGACTCAAAAGCCTGACATCAAGAAATATGTTATGCTGCATACATAGGAATTGTATAATTAAATGGTGTACGCTCAACAACATGAGCATCCAGAAAGTGATTCTAACAATCTTTCGCAACGTGGATGCAGTAGTTGTGCAATTTTTTTTTTCTGTATTCTGACGGTTCTTAGATTCATTCGAGGTTACACTAAAAAACATCGTAAGGAGCAGTTGAAGGCAGTTGAAGACCGAGGGGTAACTCGGTCCCATTGTCTATCCTTCAGGATTTCTTATATTTCTACCTCTTGTGTACAGTACTGTGATGAGATCCCCATCGTTTGGAATCTGTAAGTGAGGTTTTCCATAAAAAGGCACGAAAGCAAAAGTGTATCACCTTAGGCTAATCTGAATGTGGAGAGCCTAATTCAAAGAAGGAAAAGAGCTCATGACTTGGGCCTCAAGTGTGACCCACAGACTCACTTGAGTTGCGCCAGGTCTAAACCACTGCAGCATTCTAGCCCGCAAGAACGCTAATTTTTCCTTTCGAGCAGACTGACATGGACGAAAAGTGGCATTGACTTGTAGGATTTGGGGCTCGACGCCACTGATTATCAATCTTACGTGTATTTTATTTTACTACTCGATGGCCCTTCAAGTGGCAAGTTCGTCTGCGGGGGGATGCGAAGTTCGGGCATGGCATCCTCCCTGTCCAGGCTGACAAACATTTTACTACTGTAATTTGACAACTGTGATGAGCTCCAAAGCAATCACACAGAAGTAACGGATGGACAGTGACGTGCAGAGCTCTACATGTGTAGAAACTAGGAACCCGGATATTCAAGTGGTCTGACACGACATCGAGCATTCCTGTTCATGCATTGGAATTTTCACGTATTTTCAATCATTCTCTGCTTCTACCATGAGGCCAACAGTTCACAGATCCAATCACTCTCAGCGTCAATCAACGAGCCATTCGAAAGTCTGTGCACAGTTTCAATCATTCTCTCTCTGCCCTCCGCCCCTGCAATCAGGCCATGAGAGGGATTCAGATCTGTCGTTATGACAGAATTCCATCGACGAGCTGCTTGCTTGGCAGTTCGATAGATGATACAAACTTATCCAAAAGCTCCCTCCCAAAGCTTTGGCCAGCTCTATCGGGCCCTCCTCAATTTCCGAGATCTCCATCGGATTTTCCATGAGTTCGTGACTGTGTGAGGAGGGGTGGACGAGTGCCAATCACCCTGCGGCGCAGCCCAAGCCCAAGCATGTGAGACAACGGGACGCTTGAGGTCAAAAATGCAGTTGCTGTGCTGCATGATCTATGCATGATCGAGGACGAGGACGAGGGCGAGCGCGACAAGGATCAGCTGTACGGAGTCAAGAAGGTACGAAGTGAGGTGGAGTGAAGTGCACTGAACTGCCCATGACGTTTGCGTTGACGAGATTTCCAGGAAAGGACGAACAGTCAAAGACAAAAGGACTGCTCTCGTCCACTTTCCGGACCCGAAAACTGCTCTGCTGGTGCTGGTGATGGTGCTGGTGCTGAGTAAGTTAGGAACGAGGTGAACTTCGGTCAGAGGTTTCGCCATAAAGGAGAACCTGTCAGTTTGACTGCTTCTTCATGGGACCTCCAGTGTTCACCCTCAACCTCGTTGACCCTCGAGATGCTGCTTCAGGTGCCACCACTTCACCTTTCGATGGACGAAGCATGAGCATCGCTTCATGGCCAAGTATGTTCATCGATCGACAAAATTCCGACCCTCTACGTCTCCCTCTCCCTCTCCCTCGCCCACTCGCCTGGTGGCTTCTGTGGGTCCAGAGTTCTAAGTCCTCCTCCTCGCAAGTTACAAGCGCCAAGCTCCAAATAAAAATGTTCAGCGATTGCTGAGCCGGTCATGGTGGCCATAATTCCTGACAGGCCTACGAGGCAGGGCCATATGATGTTTGGTGGGTTAGGCTGTTGGTTGTAGATTGAGGGGAGATGGAGACGACGCGTGGACAACAGACTCTCGCAGCAGTTTCATATCTCTTGGACCAAAGACAGAAAGGGGGCGAGCAGTTTGGAGCCTCTGTTTGGGACGTACAGTCCTTGACTGCAGAGTTTGCACCCATGCACATGGAGTTGTGAAGGTTCATTGTGCCAGTACGATGAGCAGTTCATTCTGCTGCAACGAGATTGGATTCGCTTGGTGCTTGGTGCATCTGGACCAACTCCTTCAGCAAGGGGCCTTGGCAATTCTCTGCTCCGAATATTTTCATGTGCAAGGTGCCTTCCATGGGTTTCATTCTCGAGACCTTCCAGCCATCGTTATCAAGAATGCTTTGGGGTACAACATTCAGTATCTGAGTGGATGGATACTTTAGAGGGCTCGTGCGTAAATTGACCGGCCCACTTCATCCTTGGGCACTAGCATGTCACCATACTATATACAGAAGCGAATTCGGCGTGCATCATTTTCCATGTTCGTTCATAGACTAGGAGTCACCTGCTGGCCGCAAGATGCGTGCCTGATTTCACCGACCTTTGCATGCTGCTGCTGGCACAAGGTGGTGGTCTCGGTACCTAGTCCTCTTCCGTACATGACTCGGGCCATGCAGCTCATCCTCCAAAAAATAGAGAGCCTACTTTGACCTTGAAAGATGGCCTTGAAGCAAAGATACTGCTTCTTCTTTACTGAAAAGTTGACCAAATCTCACACTGCAATTTTGGGAGAGTTGTATTGGACATGAGATGCACATGAGTGTGTCGGAATCTTCTTCCTCATGAACTTACTGAACGAGTGCCAAAAGATGCACGAGTTTGTCCTATGGAAAAGTATGATGGGGCTCACCACATGCTTTCTAAAAATGACACCTCTCGAATGCTTCCAAGCAGAGAGAGGTCATGTCATAATGCTGAGCTTGGCAGCTGCAATGCCATGACGTTCACAAGGTAAGAAGAAGGGCACAATTTGTTATGTCCTACTTTTCGGCTCTGTACATTTGCCAACGAGACAAGATGAAGACCGATTCCTCCAGTGTGGGTGGTAAATGTGCGGCGCTTAGGCGTACATTATGATGAATAAATGAATGAACAGTACGAGGATTCGATTGACATTCTCGAACCCACCTACCACTGGCTTCCTTCAATGCTCTCGAGATACAGTACCCGAATACGATGTCTGCTTGCAATGGAGTGTTCGGTGGCACATTCTTGCGCTGTTTAGTGCTCTGTGATCTTTATAGGGTGTGCTGCTCTGGAGGATGTCTTCTTGTGTCATAAGATCCACGGGACTTTAGACTCTTCATTGTACCCTTACAGAGTTGGGATCATTACATTACATTACATCCCATCCCTCTATAGGAAGCTTCTCATTTCTGCAGATTCCTTCGTTTCTGTTCTCGGCCATGGTCAGTCCAGTAACGGACGTCTAATTGAAGTATACGACAAGAATCTCCCTGCGAAGCTGATGGCTCACGCTGTACAGACACTTAACTGAAACTGCATTACGGTACATCTCGATTGTGCACAAATGCTCTTGGGGCTTCGGGCCTTGGGTCTGTGCTTTGACTCCATTCACATGAAGTTAGCCAACAATATCTGTACCTTTGTGAAGAACCAAACACATGGTTCCATACTCTCATCAATTCTGAGAATCCGTATATCATAACACGTACAAAGTCGAAGTTAATCACTGGTGCAGAAATGCCTAAACGGAAGTGATACTTCAATGCATGAAACCAGGTTTAGAAATAACAAATCACACACATAAACTTCGCTTCTTGTCTTTGATTATTGCCTTTTGTATCGCATGAGTTACAGATACTATGGAGATGGATAGAGATACCATGGTCACCAGCTGAGCTGGCCTGTTAGTCAGATTAGAACGTCATCTACGCAAACTGAGGCAAACATATCTTAAAAAAATTCGTTAGGAAATTTGTGATAATGAGCATAGCGAATCATTTCCTTCCGACTGGATCCAGATTAAGGTTTTGTCTTCTAGCCGGGGTTTGATTATAGATGGTTCCGGTAGTTGTCCAGTCATAACGCTTACTCCATATCCATGCATGAAGGTTTGAAGTCAGTAGCGTGGTGAGAATTAAACCTGAGCTGGATATTTGCAGCTCGTTTAAGAGGACCTCGAGAAATTAGCGCATAACCCGAGTATTAGGTGGTGCATCTGTGCACGAGCTAGGTAGCTACGGAAACTGGCGCCCTGTACAATATCCAGGATGGGAGAATGTGCCGGGATCTCATGAAGTGTCGACGTTGGCTCATTGGGCCAGTGGCTTTGCAGCAGTCCACGACTTTGTCTTTCAGTTATGGCGAAGTGGGCCCTCTCTCTACAGCTACAGAAGGCGAGCAAAAGTCGAAGCTCTCAGCTCCCCTTGTCGATCCGTACACGAGGTCTCGCTCGAAGCCTTCACCTGCCCACCCTCCAGCGGCATTCTGAAGTGTCTGATTATATTCGTGAGATTCGGAGTTGGTATCCTGCATACTCGCTCCTAAAGTCGTGCTCTCGTGTTCTAGATGCATATTTAAACCAGCCCTCGGCAGACAGTATCTGGCATGCGACTGCGACCTCATCAAGTGCTTTAGAGCTGCGCACTCAGAATTCAGAAGGTGGCTTTAAGCCCACTGTAGCCCGTCGAGCTCTGAGTCCACGCGGGACTGAAAAGGGGACTGTGGAGTCCAAGCCAACCCCAACTGTGGTCAATTTACGCTCATGGATGTTCTTTGTCGTGAGCATGTGCACATCTGAAGCTGCTCTTGCCTTGTACATAGAGCCAGTGAGCCTGATCTCTCAGGCCAGTTTCTCTTCTGCTCGCGAGACCATTGTCTTAATCTCTGCTGCTCAAGGGTCCTAAGAGGTCTGCTGCTCTCTTCTCCTCGCACGTATATTTCTTTTGGAAAGGAAGATCAGCAGAAGGCCGAATTCAGGTCCGCGAAGAAACATATTGCAGGTTGTGTTGGCTCTGAGCTGAAGCTTTTTCTTGCAGGTGAAGAGTGGTTGACACTTATTGCGAGCTTACGAGTCACAGACAGACAGACCGCCGGCCAGGGAGCAGGCAGTGCAGACACATGGCCTTGGAAAGAAGCACCATGCTTGCTCTGTTGTTAATTTCTCTGGGTCTGCTTCAGACTGCTCTAGCAGCTGAGTACGTAGTGGGAGATGCCACGGGCTGGACTTACGATGAAACACTCAAATTCTACAACGATTGGGCAGCGAGCAAGACCCTCAAAGTCGGGGACTCACTCAGTAAGTCGCCGTATTTCTTTTCTTGCACGGCACATTGAATACTACGTTTCAAAATGCTCGTCATCTCCACATCGCAGCATTGCCCTGCTCTTTGCTCGGGCATTACTTCCAGAGTAGTGCTTGACATTCACCACAATTATCCACTTCGGCATTTCTCCCTTGAAGCCTGATGTTCTTGTTGTCCCCGACCAAATGAATGGACTAAACTCGGACTCTACAGTTACTCTTGTTCTCTTGAATTGAGGCCTAGAAACTGATCCAGAAACGCTAATTACGATTATAGATTCTCAATGTGCAATAACACTTCTCCCTCAATAACCTCGAAACCAGACCTGCCCGAGTTCAGATGTATGAGTCATCGACGATTCGAATGACTAAGTTTTATCTTCAGTTTTCAACCTACAAATGACATTCACATTCAATCTGCTTATGCACTGTGATCATTCGTGACCTCGTGTTGATTATTTGATCGTGTGGAATTGCAGAGTTCAACTGGGTAAGCGTGCACGATGTCGTTGAAATGAGCCAAGCGGATGCTGACGCTTGCAACAGCGTAGGCAACAAGATCAGCGAGTGGCAGGAGTCTGGCGCCGTGGTAGACCTGACAACTGCCGGAACTCACAGTTACATCTGCTCCATCGGCAGTCACTGCAATGCGGGTATGAAGATGACAGTCACCGTCCTGGCAGCAGACACTTCAACTCCAGCCTCCCCTCCACCTCCCGCCACGCCTGGTGTGACCGCTGCTCCTCCTCCACCTCCCACGGCTGCCTCGAGCATCCAGTTGCGCCAACCATTAATCGTTGGAGCGCTGGCCCTCATCGCAGCTTGCGCTGCTCTCTCTTTCTAATAGGACTCGAAGCGTTTTTCTCGTGAAAAGAGGAATGTCCCAACAACCTGCGCAGATTCTGCCAGAGACATGTCTCCCATCACCCAGAATTATTATTGTCATATCTCGGAAACTCAGACGCGAATATTCATTGTAAATTTGAAAACCATAAATCATTAGCAAAGATGGGTCCATAAGACGTCATACTCGATTGACTACGTGTTAGAAATTTGGTGCCCTCTCATTGGAAAGGCTCGATATTTCATTTTTGCATCACAAGCTTCATCACCAGTGAGATTGGTGCTTTACAAATGCGTGAGCCACGTTTACTTGCATTACCAAATTAGTATACATTCCCACTTCAAATGTAAACGAATTGTGACAATAATATTTTGGATCATAACACTCTAATGAAGCTTTACTTTCTACAAAAATACTATGTGAAAAGATCGCTACCTTTGATTGTTCCGCCACTTTTCCATTGACATTATAATGTTTTGTTCTGCCCAAATCGTGACGGGGAGAGAAAACTCTATAAACTCTTAAGACAGAATGGAGAATGTTGTTGTGCACCATGTAGACACTGAAATTATCTAAAAAAAAACTAAAACCAAAAGAAAACAAATGATCCATAAATCTATCAAATACATGTGTGTAACTATTAGAAACAAATCTTTGTCACCAGATACGAGAAAGATCAGATCAATTTCCCCTTTAGCTTTGCACTCCTCGTAAAACAGTTTGCCTCGAACAGACACCTTGAAATCTTATGAAGAATTTGGTAAGCAGTTGTTACCCATGAATACTACTAGAGAAAGGTTCTCACCAAGTTGCAAGCAATTAAGTGCCAATGCAAGGTCTATCACCCTCTATAAACTCGTGACAGATGACTACCAGCTTTTCTTATAATGAGACGTTGACCGAAACTGCGCCCAGACGCACGAGCTGTATGTAAATTTAGTACCGTAACAAACGAAATGTACGTGAGCGAAAAGATGAGCCATGCACCGGTCATTTCCAAAAGACCGCAGAAGGTGGGCTCTCAGTCCTTCCATAGCTGCTTTCACCGAAGTCAAAGGTCCCCAAAGCTGTTGCAATTCGAATAAAATATTGAAAGCCTCTTAGTGCAACCGTTGTTCGTGTAAACATGGTTTGTACCTTACAATTGAAAAGGTCGCTCGAAATTTCTACTTCCTCGTACAATTGAATACCCTGTGACATGGCTCGTCCAACACAAGTTAGCTGAACATGTTGATTTGAACAATGATGAGAATTCTCAGCGTCAATCCCCCTTCGACAAAGAGAACTCCCACAGCGTTTGAGAGATATGTAACAAGACTTAACAGCTGGTCCAGGCAATATTGAGATACAATACACAAGATAGCATCCGTCAAGCCTGACCTGCTCTCTCTTGTAACTACACGATGATTTACCCTCAAATCTAGTGGCTACTGCACTTGCCCCACAGAGTAGAACAATCTTACCTTCTGGTATCCTCACGGGATCCTAAGACTTTGGTGTGCCCTATCTGTTCGGAATTTTTGCACCATTACTCTTCCGCTCCAGACGAGCGTTGCGCTGCAGCGTGGCGCGGATAGCGGTCGCAACATTTCAAATCTTCAAATCTTTCCAAGCTTCGAACACACACAGAACATTTCAAATCTTCACATGCTTCGAACACACACTGAACATTTCAAATCTTCAAATCTTCCTAAGCTTCGACTATGCTCTGAATATATATGCAACTAGCCCGTAAAGACCGACCAGTAAGCAGATGCTGTTTAACGGCCTCACCACTTTTGAATCTCAATTCGGAGACATGGAGCGTTTGCATGCTCAGTGAAGTTGTTGGATCAGAGGACATCTTGAAGGCAACATGTGGCCAGTAGTCGCTAATCTTACTATCAATCCCTTCGTGGTTGTGGAAATCGCGTCCTGCAAGGCACATATAGATGCTCTAGACACACGCGCACACAATTCGTTATTCTGCAAATTTCGTTATTCTGCAAGATTCTTACATTCTGAACATGGCGGAGCAAATGGACCCATTCAAATTCCATACCATGCTGAACACGGCTTATCAATCGATTATCAGCAGCTACATTATGCAGCTGGGTTGTGTCATCGTGCTTCTGGTGCTCTGCGTCTGCTTCTACAGGTTGAAGCAGAAAGCTCGTCTGGGACCAAGATATTGGCCCTTTCTGGGCAGCGTCTGGGACATCTCGGCGCATTACTGTCATCTACACGATTGGCTCTTGGGATTCTTCCGTTTCGCCAAAACTATTCACGTCCGCATGCCCTGGGGCCGCGTTTACTACTGCACCGTGGATCCAGTCAATGTCCAGTACTTGCTCCAAACGAACTCCGTCAACTTCCGCAAGGTCTGTCTGTCCCGTCAGCCCAATTCGCCCTCGGATCTCGTCTCGTCTTCCATGCAGACCATAGTTTGTGACGGGCTGTGTCTCTGATGTGCTGTCGTAATGGGCTTCGATTGACAGGGCAAAGGCTTCTTCAAGCGCATGGAAGTGTTGTTGGGCCAGAAAGAGCTTCATGACTCATGGATTATGAGGAATTGGGTGACCTCGGAGTTCTGCAAACCTTCGGTCTGCGACCTGACTGCTGCGGTAATGAAGAAGAAAACTTGTACCATCGCTCGGCTGCTGGCTGAAGTAGCCAGAAAAGGCACCACCGTGGACATCCAGGTAAGTCATACAATTTATGTCGTCGAAGAAGGTTCCTGGCTGCCCATCGCCAACCTCTGCAGATCCTACGACAGCCTTTGGGTTGAGGTCGACGAAGATAAGGGATGAGCACAAAACATTTCGCACTTTCTGGAACAATTTAGAAAAGAGAGGCTCGGATGCCGATGATTACTTTGGGCAAGACCAAACTGACTTGACATGTGTTTGCCTTGTCGACCATGACAGGATTTGATTCAAAGGGCGACATTGGATGCGATCGGAAAAGTGGCGTTTGGAGTAGACTTTGAGTCACTGCCATGTGCTCTTCCAAAGCCATGGCCACACATCGCGTTCGCTTCGTCCTTGGACTTGGCCACCACCATCGCCGTCAAGCGCTTCAGTGATCCTTTCTGGGAGCTCAAGCGGTACTGTAACATGTTTCCGGAGCGGGTGCTACCGGAGCAAATGCAGGTAGTGGATGGGTTTATCTTTAGCCTGATTGCTGACAGAAAAGCCGAGGTCAAGCATCATCATGGGCAAGTCTACGATCTGGCTCAAGCTTACCTGGCTCACGCCGAAGGAGTATGTTTCACTTATCTCACATCTTGCTCTCTGAATTGCTGCAGCCGGTAGACGGTCACCAGCCTAGACTTAGGTAGACTCGTCAGTCACAGATCGTGGTCCTCGTGCAATGGCTCGTGCAATGGATGACAATTTGAGATATAGATTCCAGCTCAGTTGTTGTGGTCATGCCTGCAGACCCCGTATGGAAATGATCTCATTTCCAAATTTCTCAATCTCACGATGAGAGAAGACCACGCCGACAACCCTCAGACGGACGAGTTACTGCGGCATATCGTCATCAACTTCGTGATCGCCAGTCGGGATGCTATTGGAGTGACACTCACGTGGCTTGTCTACGAGTTGAGTATGCACTCTGATGCGTCGCACAGACTGTACTTAGAGCTCCGAGACTATGAGAGCCGGAGACAATTCGAATGTCAGTATTCGGAGGAGCAGTATTCGGATGTCGAGCTGCAAGACGAAGACTACGTTCGCATGATGGACACACGAATTCGTGAATTTGCTGCCCTGATCACCTCCGAGTCTCTGGACGAGCTGCCTTTCTTGCATGCTTGCCTTGATGAGACTCTTCGGCTTCACCCCGCGGTGCCTCTTGTATGTATCATGAGCCACATCTTCCTTCATCCCTGGTTTTGGTACGTGATTGTCATCTTCATCTTTGTAGACCTCGAGTTAAGTGGGCCTGTGTCTAGCCACTATGATTCTAAGAGACCTGGATTTCAGGGCTCTTAGAATCATGGTGGCAATATCATAACATGGCTAGACATAGGCCCACGTAAGGAGGAGACTCAACCTTTCAACAGATTATATGGTGACCAATTGCCACGACATGAATCTGATTAATATAGATTGGTAAGGTGTTGTAACCAGCGGTGCATCCCCTCGTGCAGGACCCCAGGGACATAGAAGAAGACGACACACTTCCAGCCGGAGAAGTTTTCATAAGCAGCAAGAAAGGGAACGTAGTCTTCATCGCACCATATTCTATGGCTCGAATGACGTCTATATGGGGTCCGGATGCTGCACAGTTCAACCCAGATCGTTGGCTGCAGAGTGGCAAACTGGAGCCAGCATCTGACAGCAGATTCGTGACGTTCCAGGTGGGTTCCCTGATTTTTATCACCAGATTTGAACCGCATTCAGTTTGAGTTATGGTAGGGAGTCAGAGACTGCTCACCTTCACCGTCAGAAATTGCTGGCTCGACAAGGTCTAGGCTAGAATGATCCTTTCTCGCTATTGGTTTAGTCCGTTCAAGCTAGAAAATGTGAAATGATGTTAGACCTGAAGAACTTTGTGATATTTGTGCAGGCTGGACTTTACACTGGCGCTGTGAAAGATTTGACTTACCAGAGTTGCAAGGTTGCAGCAGCTATTCTGGTTCGGTTCTTCGAATTTATCCGCGCGTGTCCCCTCAATCGTCCTCCCCAATATCGTATGACGTCCACCTTAGTGATAGAGAGTGGCCTTCAAATGTATCCTCGTTTGAAGTACAATTCCGGAGCTACTATTTAGTAGCAATATTCCCGAATATCGTATGACGTCCACCTTAGTGATAGAGAGTGGCCTTCAAATGTATCCTCGTTTGAAGGACAATTTCGGAGCTACTATTTAGTAGCAATATTCCCGAATATCGTATGACGTCCACCTTAGTGATAGAGAGTGGCCTTCAGATGTATCCTCGTTTGAAGTACAATTCCAGAGCTACTATTTAGTAGCAATATTCCCGAATATCGTATGACGTCCACCTTAGTGATAGAGAGTGGCTAGTGATAGAGAGTGGCCTTCAGATGTATCCTCGTTTGAAGGACAATTCCGGAGCTACTATTTAGTAGCAATATTCCCGAATATCGTATGACGTCCACCTTAGTGATAGAGAGTGGTCTTCAAATGTATCCTCGTTTGAAGGACAATTTCGGAGCTACTATTTAGTAGCAATATTCCCGAATATCGTATGACGTCCACCTTAGTGATAGAGAGTGGCCTTCAAATGTATCCTCGTTTGAAGGATATCATTCTTCTATTTTAAACATGAATTATATGTTTCAAGGTTTCAATGAATTATATGTTTCAAGGTTTCATTTCCTACCAATTAGTTTTTTACATCATGTTTTCAATTATTTTTCAAATCATGTTTTCAAATTTCATCTACGGGTTGAGTATGCACTCGGATGCCTCGCAGACTGTACTTAGAGCTCCGAGACTATGAGAGCCGGAGACATAATGAATGTCAATGTTCGGAGGAGCAGTATTGAGATGTCGACCTGCAAGACGAAGACTACGTTCGCATTATGGACACACGAATTCGTGAATTTGCTGCCCTGATCACCTCCGAGTCTCTGGACGAGCTGCCTTTCTTGCATGCTTGCCTTGAGGAGACTCTTCGGCTTCACCCCGCGGTGCCTCTTGTATTTCTCATGAGCCACATCTGGACCACTAAAGAACTCCACATTGAGCAACACTGCTCTGGAGTCCTATCGAATCCAGCATCGGTGAGAGCGAGAGAAACGTTCTTCCACAGAGCTTTCTTACTTTGACCACTTTGCACTTCAGCCTCCATGCCACTCCACACTTTTATCAACTCTAGAGTCTCAACAATTCTCCACTTTCGAATTCTCCTGCTTGGAGCCTCACTAGCCGATGTGGCGGCATCTGTCGTTGCTGTTGTCTCGGTAGTACTTGATTTAGATTCGGTTGTCTCAGATACAGATGGAAACTCGAGAGGAGTAACCTCAGAAACCACTGTGGTCTGGAATTCTTCTTCTGTTGGACAAAGCAAACATTAGTCACATAACACCACAAAACTTTGCTGGTCTGCAAATTTTCACGATTTAGCCCGCGACGCCTGATTCTTGTTGTGGCCATTTCGCTGTATGATAAAAGAATCAGACTGATTGAGTGCCCGTGATTTGCTACCCCAGGACGAATCCAACATACAAGACTGGGAGTGAGCTTCTTACGACTCACTTTTCTGTTATGTTACAGGGGCCTTGAAGATACAAGTGACTCGGCAGCAGTCACATGGTGACAGACCAGCATTTTGTCTTCAGGTCCCGAGGAAGCCTGCGTTGAACGCGTAAGTTTTATCAAGCAAATAGCATTCAGTCTGCGACTGCGATTTGATGATAAGATCTTCAGAGCTTCAATCCATGTTGTGTCAGTACGCCGTTCAACAGTGATTGGATGGTACTGCTTGGCTTGGCAAATCAACCTCTCTATGCTTTGCCTCGCATGTCTGGATTGTTGGCATCCTTCTCCAGTTCTTCTCCTGTTTTATAGCCACCCACAAGATAACCCATGCAGTGTTCGTCTAAAATTGAGCAGCGTCGGTAGAAAGGCAAATCGCCGGTTACAAGCACGGCACTGAATAGTCATTAACTGATTTATTTGCCACACTGACCTCTAGTTTGCAATTCTAGAAATCATCTCCAATTTAGGATATTTCAATATAAAGAGATATTTAGGATATCTCTTTATGGGCCGACAGATTCCTTTCAGATAGCGCGACAGGTTTGCAACCTCTTGCTGAATGAGAGACTTCAAGCTGCAAGCTGATAATAGTCGTCAGAATATGTATGTCTATGTCCGCTCAAGCAAAGACAGCTGTGCAGCCAGCCACCAAAGCTCCGACGATCATCAATGCTCGGGACCGCAGGCTGGAAGCATCGGAAGGAGAAGGAGAAGTCGAGGGAGGAGGAGAATCAGTTGGTGCGGAGATGGGAGGAGCAGCAGTTGGTGAAGAGACGGGACCTGGTCCAGGAGAATAAGAGGTTGGAGATGGGGAAGGAGAAGGAGAGGGAGTGGCAGATGGAGGGGAAGAGGAGTTTGCAGCCAAAACTTGCACATGCATCTTCATGAATCCGCTGTCGGAGTGGCCTGGAACGCCGCAGATGAAGCCAAAGTACCCGGATCTGACCAAGGTAAAATTTGCACCCACCGTCTGGTATTGCACAATTGGATTGTTCAAGTTACAGCTTTCCACGTCCGCTTTGGTCACTTCTAAAACATTGTGGCTGCTGTCGTGATCGAAATTTGCAGAGACATCGAGCTCGTGGTCACAAGGTCATCGAGCAAAGATGTTTCAGAGCGGATCAAAACATGTCGGAAAAGTGATCATGTTGCACGTAAGTTAAGATTTCTGCCTTTCTTGCATGCTTGCCTTGAGAAGACCCTTCGACTTCACCCCGCAGTGCCTCTTGTATGTCTCATGAGCCACATCTTCCTTCATCTTCATCATTGTACACCTCGATTTCGGATCTATTGAGGGCAATATCATAACGTGGCTAGACATAGGCCCACTTAATGAGGAGACTCGACCTTTCAACAGATTATATGGTGACCAATTGCCACGACATGAATCTGATTCATATAGATTGGTAAGGTGTTGTAACCAGCGGTGCATCCCTTCGTGCAGGACCCCAGGGACATAGAAGAAGACGACACACTTCCAGCAGGAGAAGTCTTCATAAGCAGCAAGAAAGGGAACGTAGTCTTCATTGCACCATATTCTATGGCTCGAATGACGTCTATATGGGGTCCGGACGCTGCACAGTTCAACCCAGATCGTTGGCTGCAGAGTGGCAAACTGGAGCCAGCATCTGACAGCAAGCTCGTGACGTTCCAAGTGGGTTCCCTGATTTTTATCACCAGATTTGAAACGCATTCAGTTTGAGTTATCATAGGGAGTCAGAGACTGCTCACCTTCACCGTCAGAGATTGCTGGCTCGACAAAGTCTAGGCTAGAATGATACTTTCTCGCTATTGGTTTAGTCCGTTCGAGCTAGAAAATGTGAAATGATGTTAGACCTGAAGACATTTGTGATATATGTGCAGGCGGGTCTTATACTGGCGCTATTCTGGTTCGGTTTTTCGAATTTATCTGCGCGTGTCCCGTCAATCGTCCTCCCGAATATCGTTTGACGTCCAGCTTGGTGATGGAGAGCGGCGTGTGTATCCTAGTTTGAAGGAGAAAATGAGAACTACTAGAAAATAGTAGACATATTTGTTTCGGAGGAACGTCTGGTCGTTCCAGTTTAGATAGGCTTCTGGTACGTGGTTACATGCTTGTGCCGTTTTTGAATTACATATAGATCAAACTCCTGCTTATTCATCAATTTGAAAGCCCTTCACGTATTTAATGCGATCATGTTCTTGCATGCTGTGCGCTTTACTTGCCCGGATTCTGTTCATGATCATTATGTCCACATGCATGTCTACCACGAAGTTCTATAGTACGAAGAAAAAGAGCCTTCTTGCGGCCGTCCATCCTATGAAGACAGGGTTGAATCCTAATTAGCATCCTCCTCATCAGTGGCTTGGCTCATTTTGACGTGCAGGCCGCTTACGTACACAGTGAAAAATCAGAGTGGTTACACACGAAGTATGCAAGATGTGAACTTCCGGACGGAAGTATGCTGGAAATAGTGAACGTGCGAACCAAAATAGATGACCAACCAATACGGAATAGTGATAATCGTTAAAGCTCACCCCACCATGAAACACAAAAAGATCCGATACATTTTGCCTGGGTCACAGGCAATGTAAGCCTCAACTGGGATACAACATTGATAGAGATATCAATGTTGTATCCCAGTTGAGGCCTACAATCCCACAATGAAGAACTTCTACATTCTTATGAAATTCAGAACTCCTGAGATTAGAGCATTGCATGCCCCTTCCTGACAAACAATATCAAAAGAACAAGTCCCATGTCTTGCGCCGGAAACGGCCATATTTTCCTGAATCAATGTGCAGGCTGTCCCCAAAAGGACACCTCGCATGTACATTGTAAATGATATACTTTTGTACATAGAAAGAATAGCGTATCAGAATGACACTGGGAGATAATCTCTGATTCTACTGTTGTTTCGAGGTAGAGGATTCGAGGGGTCAGTTCATCCCTCAGCTAATGTAGAGGTTCTTTATTTGCCAACTCCAAGGAAACGAGCAAGCTAGCAGATTCTTGGACGCAGGGTACGAGGAGGTAAACTGACACCACCACAAATCAATGAACTCTTCGAATTCGTGCTGCTGTGGCATTGAGAATCCTCAGCCTGGCCGAATCTTCAACCCCCTCGTGCGTAAGGCTTCATAACACGAAGCTTTACCAACGAGGCTTCCCAGCTATGTGGGAACTGTGGACTTTGATTCAGAGGCAGTCAAGATGATGGAGACGCGCAGTTTCGAGAGGCATCGTGTGCTGTGGGTGAAATCATTTGAAACAGCAGTCGACTTCAGTTGGCAGCTACTTGAGGAGTATCTGGATTAGTTCTAATGAGTTCCCTTCTAATTGCCATAGCCTTCTCCATAGCATCCAAATATGTCCATGGTTTCTCGGAAACAACACCTGACTTTGTGTCCTCTGAAACGATCTGCACATTACATTCGAAGTGCTTAGAACTGACTCGACTGCTTCCCTGAACCAGGAATTACACGACCGTACAAGCGTAAGCTAAAAGGAATCTGAAGGCACCTTCCTGAAACTGATACACGGGTGAGACTACAAATCGATAGGGTGCTGAAGCGCCAAATTCTCTACAACTAAAAACTTTTTTTAAAAAACAAATGTCACGAGTTTACTCACTTCGTATTTCTTGACTAAAGAACTCCACATTGAGCAACACTGCTCTGGAGTCCTATCGAATCCAGCATCGGTGAGAGCGAGAGAAACGTTCTTCCACAGAGCTTTCTTACTTTGACCACTTTGCACTTCAGCCTCCATGCCACTACGCACTTTTATCAACTCTAGAGTTTCAACAATTCTCCACTTTCGAATTCTCCTGCTTGGAGCCTCACTAGCCGATGTGGCGGCATCTGTCGCTGCTGTTGTCTCGGTAGTACTTGATTTAGATTCGGTTGTCTCAGATACAGATGGAACCTCGAGAGGAGTCACCTCAGAAACCACTGTTGTTTGGACTTCTTCTTCTGTTGAACAAAGCAAACATAAGTCACACAACACCACAAAACGTTGCTGATCTGTAAATTTTCAGGATTTAGCCCACGACGCCTGATTCGAATCATACAGCCTCTTATCACTACATTCTGTCCCGATCCACCGTCTTCGTGGTGATGCTAAACGACTTGCTATTGGAATGCATTATTTAGTCAAACTTCAACGTGATTAAAGCCAAGCACATTGGAGGACCATCATCAGAAAACAATCATCTACTACATGTAACCAAAACTGGAGACTAGTACATATATTTAGAAAGAGAAGAACTAACTACAGTCATGGAATCAGCCACTCACCAGTTTGGTCGTCAACTGGAGAAGATACTGTAACTGCTGTGCTTCTGGCTTCTACTTCCTCTGAGTCCTTGCGTTTTGTTGGTGACTTTACAGTGCCGTTGTTTTGAGGGACAAACTTTCCAAACCTATGAGGTGCAGGAGGTGGTGCTACGACTTTTGTAGTAACTTTACTCGGTGGAGCCGAATTCGGGGAGGCCTCACTGGCAATCACAATTACCTCCGGTCTCCTGTTTATGTACTTTTGAGCGGCCTTTTTTATTGCGGTGCCTATCTTACGCTCAATCTGGGGAAGCGTTGAATCCAAATAGCAGCTCGCGAGCGCGCCATCCACAGCCTGACGAAGATAGTCAAGAAGCCTTCCTCCATCAATCCACATGCAGCGCGTTGTGATACGAACCCGACCCCTCAGTCCCATTCCTTCCTGGTCATAGGAGTCTTGGTCGTTCTCTGCGTCGGCTGGAGCTACTGTCGGATCTCTAAAGATCTCGACACTGTTGAACAATACCATCGCCAATGGAGACAAAAATAAACATCAAGGTATCGTCAGTTTCAGCCGACTGGGCTACTTCCAACGCTCAATTCATGGCAGAGGTCATGGAGAGATTGCATCATTGTGTTTGTATGTGACCGTGTTCTGCGTTTGAATCGCTCGGCCCCATGAGGATTCAATTGAATCAGAAGTGCGGGGTTCCACATAGACATACCTGGCAACAACAAGGCCTTCCAAAGCTACTTGCATACGCTCCTGGACACACAAATCGGCTGCTGTTCCAAATGCTCTATCCCCGTCATTATACATCAACTGTGTAGACATTCCGGTGTTAGATGCAGGAAATAGGGCTAGTGCAGGCGAACAAGATTCTGCAAGTTTCATACGACAGATTCAGATGAAATTTCCCAGACTAAGGCAATGTCAGTGCATGCCTTCGTAGTCCGTTCCATTCGACAACGTTTGTTCCATGAAGGAAACATGGATAGAAACTTACCTTCAAATTCTCTCTTCCTAATGCAGAAAAGCCACTTGAAAGAACCCGCCCATTTCGAAGAGGAGAAACCCCGAGCATTTCTCCATTTTTAATGACCTGTCATTGAAGTAGGTACACAGATGGCCCTGAATGAGATTTGCAATAAGCCAAAAGGTTTGATCTGGAGCTGGTGAGCATGCAACCAGAGAACGATATTGGCAATACACAGGGACGCAAGCGCAATTAAGGTTCTACTCGAGTCGAGACGTACGCGTAGAACTTTTCGCTCTCACAAAACAAAGAACGACACTAGCCAGGTGAACTTATTCGACGAGTGGAGTGCGATACGGGAACGTAAAAGGACTATTTTTCAAACTGATATTGCTCTCAATGGATTATTGACAGCTTTGAGCTTACAGTTGTGTGTCTAATCCCATTGGCTTTGCCAAGAAGCTCGTGTTCTTTGAGAAACGCAAATTCACCATGGACGGGTAGAAAGTGTTGTGGTTTCACCAGTCTTAAAACCTCCTCCTGCAATCAAGAATAGCCAGCCTTTAGATCCTTACTAGAGATTGAAAAAAGTGCGGCAACTTGTAACAGCATTTACAGGTAAAAATGACTTTACTGAAGAACATAAGCCCTACATTTATGGAAAATGCTGAGAACTGAAAGGTGCATGTATATTCTTAAGAAGAAGCACATTAAAGGTTGCGAGATAAGTATTAGGTCAAACTGTACCAGCTCCCCCCGATATGCGTGACCGGAAGTATGGAGATTTTCTCCTCTTCCCTGGATGATAGTAGGCCCAAGTTCTGCTATTCGATTCATCATCCGGACAACTCTGGTTTCATTTCCCGGGATCATCTGCCGGAGTGCATTAAAATAAAAATGTCAATTTGTAGCACTGGTTCAATAAGAAGCGAAATCAAAGTACTAGCATCCACGCCGGTAATTTTATTCTTTATGTACCTTGTCCTTCGATGTAAATGGTGAAAAAATGGTTTATCAGTAGATGGACAAATCCAAAAATTACCTTTGCGGAGTACAGAACCAAGTCGTCTTTGTTGAGTTTCAACGACCGACTTGTTCCAAAAGATGCCAAGTTCAACGCTGCGCGCGGCTCTGCCTGCATGCGAACATCAGATCAGCTGTTTTTCTCATGTCAAACAGGACAGCATTCCTTCTTCGAAACTGATATATAATTTGTAGAAAAATTGATCCTTCAATTGCGACTAAATAATCGGTATTAAATGCTATGTAGACCTTAACAACGGGACCAAAGGACACTTTACCACTCGTAACCTATAAATGCTTCCCGTGCAAATGGTAAGAATTTTGGGTGTCCGACGGGGAAATGTAAAGTAGGTGCTGGTTTTTTCAGTCTGTACAATGCGCGCAAAAGATATCTTTACAAGCCCTTTGTGAAATTTATGGGAAATAATTCGACCAAGGCAGAAGATCACATGGAGCTGCTTGTTGAAGAACTAAAACAAACCTGTGACCCAGTAGTGACGATCAACAGATCTCTTGGTGAGTACGCTCCCATGTCTTCAGCTTTCACCTGATGATGGCGACCGATAAAATAATATTTAGTTTTTCGACAGAAAATAGCAGGGTGGCTTTTGAACACCAAAACCCACAACATCCTGCAAATATGCTTTCTTACTTATCTAACAAGAAAGATTTGCGTTCAGATACGTAGACTGTTTAACACCAGAGTGTCCTTCATTTTTAAAAAATCATTCAAATGCTTCAATACTATGATGTCCACAACAGGTGTAACTAGAAAGGTGTGCCAAAAGCCGATCATACTAACCAAAAGCGAAGGGTCAAATGGAGCTTGTCCATCTTTCCAGGCTGCATCCAGGTAGGTCTTCAATGAAACACCAATGAAAACCTGAATAAGAATGAACCAAAAGATGAACCCTAATCAGTCAAACAAAGCACTACCTCTTGGCAAATAAAAATACTTTTATATCTCAGACTAAAAACAATATCTTTTGATGAATTTGTTCTCAACTTAAAAATTTTGTTCTGTTATTTTGTCCTTCAAAATAGATAGGTTTTCGTAACGGAAAGTTTTTTCAGGCGTCACTGGTACATGAAGCACGAGTTTCTTCTCTCGAGATAGAGGCAAGCGAAGACCGTGGATACATTCGAATGCAGGGTTAGACTTGATCGGACGAACGTTTACAAGGGTTAGGTGAAGATTATAAGCTACTGGAACCTACTGGTGAGAGGTCATACCAGCTTTCGTCCTGAGGCTTCTGCAGCTTCCTTGACACTACCTAGTCGGTGAACATTGGAGGCGAACTGAGTGGTGATAACACGTCCTTTGGCAGAATAAATTCGCTGCATTAACGCCTTAGCTACATCTGCCTCGCTCGTAGTCCTTCCGGGTGACAAGACATTTGTCGAGTCGCTCATCATCTGCCATCAAGATAAAAAGTACTACCTGTGTTACACACCGATGCTCTGGGAAAGTGCTCAATAAAAATAGTCAACCTTCTGTCTACAATCCAAACAACACAAAATAACAGAAAGGTGCCATTTCGATGACTTTTCCAGCGTCCACAAGTCCAGAGGAATTCCAAAAGGGCAACCGATAACCTGCATGAGTGCGCAATCTCAGGAGAGCTTCTTGGTGCTTACCAGAGTAACACCCTCCTTTGCCAATTGCTCCAGAGCAACCCGATCAAAGATGTTGCCATCAACAGGGGATTCATCGATCTGCGTATCCAAACTGGTAATTAGAAGACGAAATTTCAAAGGAACAGCAATCGCTGAGACCGATGTCAAACGAATGAACCACACAACTTGCAAGGTTGGGGTTACTGAAGCTAGTAGGATGAGTTTTTGACAAAGCTCTGCCTACCTTCCAGTCACCTGTATGAAAAATGGTACCATCTTGGCAGCGCAATACCAAGCCACAGCAGTCCGGAATGGAGTGGGTAACACGAATGGGTTCAACTTCAAAGGGCCCAGCTTGAAACCGTCCTCGCATACTAACTGTTTTACATCGCCCTTCAAATGGTATATTGTGCTCCTTCAATCTTGCTTTGATCAGCTGTTCAAATCAAAGATAACAGCTTAGTTCCTTGACAACCAAAATTCTAGCTTGCTTGCTTGCTGATCATGCTTCCCAATTCGACCTTACTTATATTCTCGAAATCAGATTTTCGATCGAGATCATTGACTCTTTAGTATCAACACCAACCTGCATGGTGAACCCTGTTGAATATATAGGGGTTTTGGGATCCAGCGCAGGAACGACCTGTACAACCACGACAAGCAGTTGGTAACATGCCGAGATCAAAGCGAAAGAGTGTACACGGACATGAGCATACAGTCCATCGGTTGTTCACATCTCTGCTAACAGAGACTTCAACAGGGAAACATACCCAAGGCAAAGCACCAATATGATCTTCATGACCGTGAGTGATGACGAGAGCCTCAATTTTGTGTGCCCACCGCCGAATGAAAGCCGTGTCCGGCAACACTTTCTGAACTCCGAGCTCATCGAAACTGCAGAGCACAGGAAGCCATCATCTGGTCAGATTTTCTAGGAAATGCAACTGTATCACAAGCCCCAGACATCCGCAGATACCAGAACACGTGAATTCGACAAGCCAAACTTCCTGAGATGCCATCACGGGCTGGAGGGTTTAAAACTTCCAAACATGCAATAAGGTGTTAGTGAAAACATGTGCAGCCGTCAGTGAATTTTTCTAAATCCCTACGAGAGCAGAACTGAGCGCCGTGGTTTTGGACGGCCATGTTCGGTGGTAAAGAACCCGCGGGCTTTGGAGATGGATGAGGTTGGAATGAAATGAACGTACTCTGGGAACATGAGTCCAGCATCAATCATGATGTAGCGGTCATAGTTGCCTACGAGCATGCAGTTCATGCCTATTTCTCCGAGTCCTCCAATGGGGAGAACGCGCAAGGGTGGCCCTTCAGCGCCTTCATGAAATGCTTTCATTTTCCTCTGCACGGCATCATCTCTGCTACGATTCGCTCCTTCTGCATTACCCCTGTACCGCCTACTTTCTCTAGGAGCTTGCCTGGTTGCTGAAGCTCGAATTTTATTAAACCCATTTCTTTCCCGCCTCGATTCTAGAATTATTTCATGGAAACTACCTCCTCCGAATTTCCCCTGCAGAAAAACCTCTCGTGTCAGATGACCGGCCGACAGAACGCTCCGGCACAAATGTGCATTGTTCGTGTGCGTTTGAGCCCGAGGGCATGGAATTTCATGACAGAGGTGAGGGGACGAAATTGCGCGAAGGAGCCAATTGGAAAATCACAGCTTCAAATCCAACTCAAAGGTCGAAACAGACTCACCAGAAACGCGAGATTCGACGCAGGCAAGGCGTGCGCCATGACCGGCGAGCCGCAACTGCATCCGAGGAACGCACTCCTCAGAGGAGCGCCCATGACTCTGCCGCGACAAAACTTCTGAAAAGCCCAAAACCCCAAAACCCCGCCACGCTCTTCTTCTTCTTCCTCCTCCTCCTCCTCCTCCTCCTCGTCTTCGACAGTTCGCTGGGCTTTTCAATTCCGCTACTGCTTCGACTTTCGAGGGGCTCGATTCATTCGGGGAGGGGGGAGCGCAGCGAGCGAGGGAAAATCCGAGCTCTCAAGCAGTGCCCATCGCAGCTGAGCGACTGCTGAAGCTGAAGCTGAGGCTGTGGACGGTGGGATTTGCGCTGTGCTGAATCTTGACTACTTGGCACTCACGCGCTCGTCCTCCGTGCATTCGAACATTATCCACACCGAGATTCCTCGTCTCGTGTCGTAGCTGCCCTCGAAGTCCTCTCTCGTGCCTTTCAATATGCTCTCGCTCAGGATAACTTGCCCAGGAAAGGCCACCCCAAGGCCCCTTCCTTCTTCTCTTCTCTTCTCTTCCCTTCTCCTTCCCAATTGTTTTCCAAAAATTACTCCCACGAATTATCCCCCAACAAGACTAAGGGCCTTCATCTTTCCGAGGGATTGATTGATTTTTTTATGAGCTTCATTCGTAGTCCATCTTTCCTTGTACACAAATTAAAAAGTGAGATAGTAGGGGGACTATTCCCCTCGTCCTGGGCTCGATGGATGTCATCTGAACTTGCGTGAAGTGCCAATCACAAGAAACAAAGTGCACATGTTCTTTCGAGATTCAGATTTGTTGTCGAAGCCTGAGATTTGGCATTTGGCATGCTCTACCTCGTGTGGTGCAATGGATTACAAGTGACAATTTTTAAGTGCTGACCATTTGGCTGCTGGTATAAAAGACTTATAAAGGACCAAAGAAGCGGTCTGATCCAAGGAAGAGGATCCTTGCTCACAATCTTAAGGAGGCATTCATTCCGAATGAATGCGACGAATGAATCATTCGTCGCCAGCACTCTCTCTTTGGGCTAAGTACAAGAAGTAGAATCGAATCGAGTTCGATTTACTGCAGCCGTCACTTTGTCCTCCATCCCTTGATGTCCATTTGTACACGTACTGCGGCCATGGATGTATTCTCGCCGCTTCGCTTTCGCTTTCGCAACAACTGCGGTGGCTATCGCTAGATTTGGCGGCATTTTTGGCGGCAGTGCTGGAGGAGGAGGGATTCACTAAGTCGCAGTTGCGTGAAAGGGGCTAAGCTAGAGCCCCATTCAGGATAGAGAAACGCGGAATGCGCCGCCAATGGAGCTGCGGGAGTTCGCAATTCGGCCCACGTGGAATTGCGAAGCGAGGTGCCAATTCCGTGCCTCGAGAAAGCGAGCGAGCGATCGAGAGAGAGAGAGAGAGCTTTTGCAGATTCTTCGCGGTGCCGGGATCGGGCCAATCTCGTGGGGCAGCAAGCAGGAGCTTCGTGATTTCTATCTCCGAGCTCTGGGGACTTTGAGCTGAGCTGAGCAGAGCAGAGCGGTGCAGAGCTCGATTGACCATGGCAGCTGTTTCTGCAGCTGCTGCGACAGTCGGGGTGTGCTCTGGCGTCGTTCTGTGTCCTGAGCATGCCGTGCTCAGGAAGAGCTCATGCTCATGGCCCAGGGCTGCTGCAGCTGTTTGTGCTCCCCATGGCACGCAATTGCAATTAGCAGCGGCCGCCAGTAGGCATGGGTTGACAGGATTCGCGAGGAGCACGAGGAGGAGGAACGTGGCCAGAGCTAGCTCGCAACCCAAGACTGAAATTGAGCTGCAGCAGGAGGAGGAGACGGAGCCAGCGAGCGCCCAAGGTGCCGTCGACGATGTGGCCTCGACACCGAGTTCCTCTTCGGCTCCATCATCCCCGGGCTTGCAGAAGGAGCTCAACAAGGTTCTCACGACTTCCGTTTCTGTGTTTGCCCCATCTTTCTGTTCCGCCAAGATCCTTGCTAAAGCATGGAATCCTTCGAATTGAATGCCGGACGAGGCATCCATTTTTCTCAATTCTCCCCCTCCTCCTCTACCTGACATGACCTTGAGTTCTTGCTATCAGGTCTTGAACCCTCTCTTAATAGTATGCTGCTCGTTTGCCCATCACTTCGGTAGAATTCTGGTGGTGCTGGAATGTGAAACGAATTTTAGGTGCTAGTGGATGTCGAGTCAGAGCCCCAGGATGAAGTTTGTACCAGTTTAGAGCTCGAAATTGTTTTCGGTCAGTGATGCCAGCAAAGGCGACGAGAAGAGAAGAGAATAGAGCCGAAGCTCACCTGGTGGTACAGTGGTGCAGGCAGTGAGCAAGACGGCGGCAACATTTGCTCCGCGAGCATCCACTGCGTCCAAGAACCCTGCCGTTCCTGGGAGCACTCTGTACAAGGTTTTCGAAAGCCAGGCGTATGTGTCCATGGTCGTCGGAGGCGCCCTGTCCTTCAATCTTCTGTTCCCATCGGACCAGGCGGATATCTGGAGGCTCATGGGGATGTGGTCCATCTGGATGTTCAGTGAGTACATCTTCTCTCTTTCTGTTTTTAGGATTTCACATTCCACCGGATTCATCTTGTACACTTGCAGATTCGACCGAATTCCATTTTCAATTAACTCTCTGAGCTTCGTTTTGCCACATTTCATTGCAGCAATACCTTCTCTCAGAGCCCGAGATTGCTCCAAGAAGGAGAAGGAAGCTCTGAACTATCTGTTTCTTCTCGTGCCCTTGATCAACGTGACGCTTCCCATATTCTGGAAGTCTTTCGCTGCCGTTTGGTCGGCCGACGTCGTGGCCTTTTTCGCCATGTACGCCTGGAAGGTAAGTCCTGGTTCTGTCGATCATCTCTTCTTCCGCACGGAGACAATGAAGGCGCAGCTGAAAGTCAATTCTTCTTGTCAGAATTTGGGCTTCAAATGACCACCAAATCATTTTTAAGGGGCTTGTGCAGGCTTGTTCCTCATTTCTGATAGCGCATCCGGAAACGAGAGATTTGTGTGCATCTGACACGTTCTCTTATGTCTCACAGATGGAGTGGTTATCAGATGCGAAGAAAGTGGACGAGTGACAGATTTTTTGAGGTCAAATTTGTTGAAATTCAAGTTAGCAGATGCCCGGCTTTGTTAGACGATAGTCTTTATTCATATCACAGACATTCAGAATGTTATTTAGAATCAGAATTGCTGGAATCTGAACAATTGCATTCCTTGTAGGACAGACAGACAGCAAGCAGCTTAGGAATTCTGTTGGCTAATTGGTAGACTACTAGCGTGGCCAAATGTACGCCACGCAGTGTGCTCTAGTAGAAAATGTACTGAAGGTAAAATATGTAAACTAAACGCCGAAGTTGCAAACTAGTGCAAGTTTTGGGACCCAATTTTGGAGAACAAGACATCAACGGAGTGAATGCTTTTCCCTGTCACGCGCCAAAGTCTCAAGCGTCTCAAGTGAGCCGCATCGTATTTCGATGGTTTGCAGTGATGAATTTCGTGGGTCGGTTTTGCTCTTTCGAAGGAACAAGAATTGCACCGACCAGCTTAAATCTTGAATCTAGCTCCCAAGTTTTGTATTTTCTGTACAAAGAATCGTGAATGTTCACGTACATCCATCAAATAGTGTAGATTTTTTATGTCCAAGTCTCTGATTGTCCAGCCTCTCATGGTGAACTTTTTCAAAGGACATTTTGTTTGGCTCGACTGCAGGGTTGACGTTCGAGGACCGAATTGAATTCATTCCCATGAACCTTAGACAAGCGACAAGAACCACGTTTTTGCACAGTGTGTGGTGTAGAGGATGAAAACGCTGTCCATAATGTGGACAGCTTATCTTTTAAACACAGAGAGAGACAGGGAAGAGATAGAATTTTTACCCGCAGTTGCTTACACTAGGAACAAACCAAGGTAAGTTACTCCTATTTTTTAGTCAAATACAAAGAACCTGATTCTCCCATGGGACCGACAATTGGAGACCGTCAAAATGCTCGACATGGGAAATTAGTCTCCCGGACTTGAAATTAGACTCCCGAGGTTAGACACCCTGCTCCAGAGTGCGGATGTCTGATATCGGGAGATATCTGTAACCTGTTTCGACAAGAAGCGTCCTTTGTGTCGACGCTCTCTTCATATCCAGGGCACTGTGTAAAAATAAGCCAGGGCACATGACTTAGGTCTCTGGACCAGGAAAGTACAACTTATGAACATTCTCTGCGGTGCCTTCCGTTAAGACTTTGGCAAGTTTACTGGTACAGCTATCTAATCAAAATAGCCAACTGGAATCCAAACTTATGGCTACACTTGCCTGATGGACACTGCTACAGCTTTGATGGATGTGCATGGGCATTGACAGCTCTTGGTACAGACAGGACGGTTCAAGGTGGCTACTGCAAACCTTGTTCCGCGACCTTCCTGCTCATGTTGATAGATTTTTCACGTATTCTCAGTTGGACTTGTCAGCCTGATTACGGGTCCCGCAGCAGGGAAATTGACAATTCAGTCTTCAAAACTTTGGACAGGGAGGGAGGGGAACAAGAAGTAGTGAGATCCATAGTCTTGAGGTACTGCACTAAACCATGGGACATACCAGCGCCATGAACGTCCCACATGACGAGATAGAGGTTATGGCCTGTACATGTCCAGCTCTCATGAGAACTAAAGGGTGTTCACCTGATCTGTGATCTATTTTGTAACACCTCCCCATAGCGAAACCGAGCTTGCTCCGTAGCATCTAGTCAAGTTGGCTGGAAGTGCCGTCAGGATATTCAGCAGTGGAGTCGGGTGACTTAGGGATACTGACATCGCAATAGAATTTCAGAAGAGAGCAGTAAAGAAAGTATGAGAAGCACAGCATGATACTCGCAAGCCTCTCTCCCCACAGTAATCGTGTACATGGAACTCGAAAGGTCAGGTGTGCTTCTTCTGTTATGCCCATGAGATGTCACGGCCATAACAGAAGAACCACTCTGGCTGACACCGCAATCAGCTGATAATAGGAGCTTGACAGAAAACCCCGAGAAAATGGACCCAGGAACAAAACCAACCGAAAAAACAAAACTGTCAGACTTAGCCCAATATGGAAACTGAATAGCTACTCCGCAGCTTCGAGTATCAATTAGCACACGCACAATCACAGTCTGATTCCATGGCAAGTCACAAAGTATATTACAAGTTCCAGAACTCACACAAATTACAGGTCGTTGTGGTTCAAGTGATTCAATTGGTTCAAGAGGTTCAACCTCATCTGCCTATGTACAGTATACACCTGGGTCGATGTCCGACGGCCTTCTGGGGCGAGAATTCAGCGAATTGGATTGGTCACCTATGGAATGCGAGCATGATTGTAGCCCTTGTAGTAAAACATCTGGATCCAGCCGCCGAGCCACCAGCCGATGGCACCGGAGGTGGCCGCGAAAATCACGGCTTTGATTCGACTCGAAGGATCTGCAAGCACAGCAGCCACGCCCAGAGCTGCAAGGCCGACGAGGAAAAGGAGCTTCCTGGCCAGCTTGAACTTCTCCAAGGCCGCCGAGCACACTTTGCACATCTGAGTGTGGGAAGAGTACCGATTCATGATGTCTTCCTTCTTCTCCAGAAGAGGTGGAAGGTTCAGATCGACCCCCGGAGCCCAGCCGATGCCTTTCCCTGCGTGCCTGATGAGCCAATTCCTGAATGCCCCGACGTATCGATCGGCTGTGGTGGGCATGAAGTAAGCTTTGGCCCAGGCCTCGGGCTGATTTCCCGATTTCTCCACCAGAGTGCGCTCCTGCTCGTGCAGAAGGCTCGCGTCTCCGTCCAGAAGATTCAGCATCAGCTGGTGATCGAGCCATCTGGGGAAAATCTGCCACCATGCGGGCCCACTGGATAGCCCGATCATGAAATTGCGAGCATTGACGACGATGATCCGACATCGCCCGGGTTGAGTGGGAGTGCAGTATGTCGTGGTTGCTGCCCTGGCGCCCTTGATGTTGCGCAGCTCGTACTCGTAGGTGAAGCGACTGGGCGCATCGAAGGTGTGGATCGAGGGTGGACCCACAGCCTTCTTCATCTCGGCGCTGAATCCCAGCGGCCCCTCGGCCTTCACCTCGAGATCCAAAGCAGTGGCCTGCGACCTCTTGCCGAGCACTCCTCCGTTCACCATGTGATGCGCCACAGGAATGTGCGCAGGGTCCACTAAATTCTCCATGCCCGTGTCGAAGCCGTAGCACATGTCGCGGAATGTCTCGACGGCGCACCAGCCCTCGCCCTCGACGCACGAGGCGGTAGGGGGCGGTGTCCGGCTTGCGAGCTCGGGCGAGCTCTCGTCGGGCCAGATGAACAAGATGCCCTGCTTCACGAGCAGCGGCAGCGCCACGGCTTGCGCCCTAGTCTGCTCGCAGGCGCGAGCCTGCGCGCCCTCGGGCTTGGCTTGGGGGATTTTGGCGCAGGACCCATCGCCCCGGAAGCTCCAGCCATGGTAGGAGCACTGGATGCAGCCGGCCTCGTCCACTCTGCCCTCCGAGAGCGGCGCCAAGCGATGCGGGCACGCATCGAGCAGGCAGTGAAATTGGCCCTCCTTGTCGCACCAGATCACCACCTTGCGCCCTAAAATGTGGAATGGATAGGGCACCGCCTTGTCGAAATCCGCCACTGGAATCACAGGGTACCAATTCGTGGTCCAGTTGAATCGCGAGCGACTCCTCTCCTCCTCCTTTTCCTCCTCAATCTTCTCCTCGTCGGTGCCCCTCGATTGCAGCGTCGCGTGCACTGCCAATGAGCTTCCCCTCGCTCCCCAACCTCCTCCTCCTCGCTCGATCCACACCCGCAGCGCTACCGCCGCTTTGCGGAAATCAGGCACGGCGCAATTCTGCGCCTGGGCCGGGACCGAGACTGAGATCGGCCCCGATTTCTTCAAGCCTGCTGCCGCCGGCACGCCACCAGCGGCAGCACTGAGAGCTCGGAGGGAGCACATTTGCCTCGGAAGCCTCGGGCGCTTGAGCCGAAGCTCGTCTAATCTATTCTATTCAGATTCCGCAAGAAAGCTCACGAGCGAGAGAATGAGATCGAGGAATCGCAGATTTGCAGGTCGAGAGATCGCGCAGAGATAGACGTCAAGTGGAAGCGCATGTCCGACTCGTGGCTTCGACCATCGCACCACGTCGCCAATTGGCTCGAGGTACTAACTTATTATTGCTTCGATTATTATATGCTGACACCTTTGCGCTTCAATCGAGACCCTCCTTTCCGAGGGCTAATCTGCCTCGAGAGTAAATATCTGTCTCGGTTGCATCGGATCGCGGAGCACTGTCGGAACGTCGTCGAGAGAATCTGAGCCCTGCGGTAACTTCCCAATGAAGTTCACAAAAATTCACCTGGAGGCCAATTTCGAGGCCCTCTCTACCTTTCTAGGTAGGGAGGATCCTGTGGCGGCCCCATATCCACACGACAGCGTTGCGTGACGTGAAATTGCGGCCAATTTGGGGCACGTTCTTGAAAGAGAGCCGTGGGGATTACTGAATCTAATTACAGGAATTAATGTCAAGCCAATGGAAGTGTGCCATCGAGCATGGACAAGGACCTCGTCCTGGTCTTCTCCTGTTGCCAATCATGACCTACTTCAGCGCCAGCAGCTGATGGACTGGACTCTTCGAAGATGTCACACCATGCCCATGTCCATGTCTTCTTCTCTTTGTTCTTCGTCCCAGTGCCTAGTCACGTCCGCTGATCGTGAGCACAGAACTGTGGGAGGATGAAGCATGCGCCGTGAGCAGCAGAGGAGAGGATCCTGTGCCCAGGTGCTACCGAGGGGCCCGAGGTTCAGAGCAAGAGTCCTTGAAAAACACTCCAAACTTGGCGAGTGTTCGTGTTTAGGGTTTGGGGTTTAACGTGAAATCGAGCAAGATTGTAGAAAGGCACATTTTTTTCTTGACGACTTTTTTTTGTTTTGGAATGTAGTTTTCTAAGAACCATGAGAAAGGGGAGGGGGCCCAAGTGGATAGCAAAACTGTGCTGTAGGTGAAACCATAGGTGCAGGGTTTAAGCATGATATCCATCGGCAATTCAGTATTGACTCCACGTTTCTGAGGAATTTTCGAGATGGATGTTGGAGATAGCATCAGTCTGAGGTGGTCTCCTTTCGTAGTGCGGTTGGATGGTCCTAGCAGAGGATGGAGCGATTCAAAATACGTGTGGACCATGTTCGAGGAAAGTTCATAATCGAAGGTTTGATGGAGTATTTGTTGGTGGCCAAAGAGTCCATCAAATAAACTTATATACAAGATGAATTACAAAGTCAAGTTGGATAAACGCAACAATGAAATATTTAAGCCAAAGGTATTTAGTTGCTGAAGGTATCATCTGAATGTTTCAATAAGTATATATTTCATAAAATCACATTTGATTTTTTGGTTATTAAGTGTCATCTTGATCCTGGGAACATTGTCAAGATGACCGTCGATGTATTTTAATGTGTATTTTAAGGTGACCATACCCATGGCATCATTCTGTGGAAGTCGTTAGTTCATATTTAGTTTATCGATACAGTTGATATGATTGTTGCAGTTTTCATTACAATACCAGAACGAGAAATCTTTTCAATGTGAGCTAGTCAGAATGCTATGGTTTGAGAGGAACGGAGAAGGAAGAGATGACATTTCAAGTTCCGGCTGGTTACGGAAGACAGAAACGAGTAACATCTCAAACTTGGAGCAATCAATAAAACCACCAGATCTTAAAGAGTTGCTCTTTAAGATCTTAAAGAGCAACTCGTAGAAACTCACAACTATGACTTCACCAAAAGAATGATTCGTCACTGCAATCCAGGTCAAGACATTGCAACGCATTGGCTTTAGTCCTTTCGCAAAATCTAAACTCAGTCGTGAGCAAGCTCACTTCTCCCACTCTTCTTCGCATTTAAAGAGTTAAACCTCTCAATAGTGTCATCTCTTATGAGTAACATAAATTTACAGAACCATTAGCTTCTGACATGTAAATTTGCTCAATAAGAACAGTTCATCACTATTGCCAATAGTGACATGCTAGTATCCAACACTGATAGTTTCAAGTATAAATAAGTAGTTAAAATTCTTATCATGATAACAATACATAGCCATGAGAAAAAAAATGTGACATACGTTTATTGAAAGGTCCGTCTCAACAAATTACTGGGCTTCACTATAATACTTCGCTACATATATTATCATCAATTATTTCACTCAGATTTTTGGTACTCATCTAAACTCAAAAGCAGTTATAATTTCTCCGTTAATCATCATGAAAAATACAGATGCTGATTAACAATACAGATGTACAAATGAAAGCGATTTTGAAATCAAACAGTACATTTATAGAATATCCTAAGATTGATGCAATATACGAGTCTATTTGCTTTTTTTTTATAAGTGACACTTCCCAATAATGTCATCTAACCTTCACAACCAATGTATGTTACTATTAAGAGGTTACATGCAAGATTAAGCAACCTCAATAGTGACATCTAACTCTAACATTAGGGGGTTACACATTGTGTGCTACTATTAGGGGGTTACACTCAAAGTTAATTACTTTACTCTTGTGAGTAACACCTCCCAGTAGTGACCTAAAGCCCTAGCACCAATATACGTCCCTATTGGGAGGTTTAACAAGAGGAAGAGAGGTCAGAGTGTGGGACCTGACAGTAGAGACGTTCAATTTCTTCCAACGTCAAGAGTCTTGCTCTGCTGTTATGAGTGCCCACGATCTATTTCCGATGACCTTGAACGTCTTAAAACCCAACTACGCTAATTATGCAACATAATCTACGCGAGTTACAACTCCATGGATGAAACATAGTGTGACCCTTTGTTGGTGATCGGGAATCAGATCTAATATAGCCTCATCACTTTCGAATGGTGGAATTAATTAGAGTGCTGCCAGGATTTTATGATCTTTATGTGTCCTCATGTGATCGCACAAAAATGAGAACATTTCCTTTCGTCTTTGCATAAGTGCAGCAAACACGCAAATGACATGCAGCACAATGTCCAAAAAAGTCCGAGCGTACACCGCAATGAAATGAAGATGTCCCCGGAGGTAGGATACATATTCATGTTGAGCCGTGTCGTACATCCAAAATCAGAAAGTGCGGATGGAAAAAATTGCGTGACTCAAGATACGATCGGCAATTTCGTGCAACCAGTAGCTTCTGTACAGATCATTATAACAAAGCTGTTCACGCGGATTTCCAAATGTCGTTGTCCTTCGTTAGGGAGTCATCTCTTCTTCTTGGAACGTTGATGTCAACTCGGACAGGATAGCCTAGCCTGTCCAAGATAACTTCAAAATTACCTTATTTTGAAGGTCCAGATGACCCAAGTGCTTTGGTTGTGGATGGACATATATGTGTCATCACACTGTGTTGAAGACTACATATTGTTGACTGCAGCCTTCAACATTGATGGCGTCAAAGAACCACGTAACGTAACCCGCAGCTCATACTCAACTATGATAGGGGACGACTAGAGCCACATCCGTTTTTACTAGGCGCCACACCCACTACATACAAACAACTGATTACGTGTCAAAGCACGCTTCACCTCAAACCCAGCTGCTAAACGCCTTCCCCTCAAACCCAGCTGCTAAACGCCTCCCCTCAATCCCAGCTGCTAAATGCCTCCCCTCAATCCCAGCTGCTAAGGGCTCGTCCGCGAGGCAGAGGAGAGAGTAGTCGAGAGGCTTCGAGGGACGCGGGGCCGTTGCGACCTTCGCTGTCTCCCGCGTTGCTGCCGCTTCTACCACTGCCGCCGGTGCTGCTGTTCTATTGATCTATTTCGACTGCCATGCCGCTTCAACCCACTTCGGCGGCTTTGATCGAGGCAACTTACACGGGCGGGTATGGCCGGAGCAGAAGCGGGTGTAGCCCTAGTAAAAACGGGTGTGGCCCTAGTAGTCGCCTTTATGATATAAGAAGTGTGGTTTATGAAACTCTTCACCTAACTTCCACTGAAGTGACTGCACTGACATAATATGACATGAAACAACGCAAAATCTCATCGGTTCATGAGACATGAGTGGACTACATGAGAGGGCAATGAGACCGACAAAAGTAACACCCAACAGAACAGACAAATTTCAGAACACTGGACCGACGGTTGGATGTAGATGGACACCCATTCACAAGTCTCCACAGCTCCTTTCTATCGTCGGTCAGGCTTCCTGAAAAGAGTGACGTAGTTCGTTTCGTAGATTCACGTCTATCTGGACAAACGTCGTTACCGATAATCCTTCATAAGATCCTTCATAAAGTTCCGAAGTCCAAGGTTTTGAAGAATTCTAATCACGAGTTCAATTTTGTACACCTACTACTGCTCGAATATGCTCACTTATTGTTCGAGAGTTCTAGAGTTCAAAAAGAGGCGAATAACTACTTTGCCTGCCTAAATTACAAGATCCAGCAAAACAAGTGTTTACCAGCATCCCTCACTCTGCAAGTCGATCTACAAGATGAAGTGAACTTTACAAATGTCCACCCTCAAGATTCCAGAGACATTACCTATCCATCTACGAGAACTTTAAACTCTGAAGGCTATAGACGCACTGTCATAGCCTCACCTACATTTGTTCTACAGCTGATAGCTGACAGTTAGCCAATTTGGCATCAATTATTGATCAGAACTTCCCGGAAGCTGAATCAATGCAATTTTCTCCAGGAGAAAATATAGGGCAAACATTTCCGAACTCTTTGTTCGGTTGGCTGCCTGGAGAGCACATCCGCAATTCCTATACAGCACTGATACTTACGTGTATCATAACGCATTACACATGTGCTCCATTCCAAAGAGTGGTACGCGCCTCTAAATGACGCGTGCTCACTCCGAGAGAAATAAATCGCCCATAATAATCAAGTGATTGCAGATTTAATAAAAAAAGGGTTCATAGAGTCACTAAGTAAGAGACTAAACCTTATCCAAATCCATGTGTCACAGCTCGTTGATACCCATGTCTTGACAATCTGGGAAGGCGCTTCGTGGCAATGACGCCAGCAACAAGGGCAAAAACACCGGCTAGTGCAAACGCAGGCATGTTGCCACCACCAAAAAGTTCGTCCCATGGCCCAGCTCCAAGAGCGACTACCATCTGCATCCATGATTGATACATACATACCTCAAAATTGAAAACTGGCATTTTTCTCACGTGAAAACTGTGCTGCTCATACTGCTCTTTATGAGGCAAGATCTGGTGTATTAGGAACAATCATCAAAGGACATGAAGGACAAGACAACAAACACTTCAAACTAAGAAGTAGCTTATTGTTCAGACACGGTTGGGCAGGACAATATTTGTAAACAACGATAAGGAAATATTGTTGTCACAAGGAAAGTATAGGCCAACAATCAGGCAATCGGCTGCCTTTTGAAGAAGAGATCTACTGAGAGGACACACAATTGAAACTAGACGGTGGTCCGTTGTGAAACTTAAAGATGAGACAATCGCACAGGGAACAACAATTTCACTGCAACCAAACTGGACTAAAGGCTAGCACAAGCGTACAGCGAGAGAACGAACTAAACAGACACATCAGGTATCAAAGAACCAACGAATAAATCGATGAACAAAGGAGAAATCAAGTATACCTGAGGTATGACGACAGCTAGATTAAGAATACCCATAGCTAACCCTGCACATATAAGAAGATAGTCAGCAAGAAACCAAGATATCTTTAGCAAAAATCGCATCTTGGATGAAGAACTTGATCACCCGACTGAACTTGTCAACTTTGTCCGTATGGCTCCTCCAAGAGATATAAGAAAGACAGCATCTTGAAGAATCTATCTATACAGTTCGTTCAGATGCAACGGCAAGTTTATGTCGTTCAGTCTTAAGAACGTAGGGATCAAGATACTAACCAAGATCCGTTACCTTGCTGTCCTCAAACAAAATAGATAATTGTTTCTTTTATCAAGTACAGTACACACGAAGGACGTGCAGAGTAAAATACCTTGCCCTCCACCGGAATCAGCCGTCAGGTCAGCTGTCAAGGAGTATGGTACACTGTATGTAATCTGCAATCATTGGTTCGAGGAAACTAGATAAATATCCTCACATCCCATTTACTAATCAAGGTGACTAATCAATACCCAGTGACAACTAAAACAGCAAAATATGACCTTTTCCTTTATTATCAACCAGAGCATCAGTCTAAGATAATACTTCAGGTAAGTTCCCCGACGAGATGACTAAAGACAGAACACCGAGATAACATACACAGAACAGCAGAACTGCATATGAAACGAAAAGGCACGAATGCAAGTAGAGATCGTACCGCCAAGGGGAAGCCCAGAACAGTAAAAAGCGCGGTTGCTGCAATTTTTACCCAGCCGGTATAGATGTGCACGGCCTCACCCTCTTCGTATCGAAGTTTGACTGCTACTGCAGTAATAACAGTTGTACACACCATGCAAATAAACATGACATAATTGCTCAAGGCCCATACGTGTTTGGATCCAAAGTATTGGCATAATGGAGTGATTACGAGAGAGCTCATCGCCAGCACAACCTGCAAAAAATGGATATCAGAACATACCCTTCTGCAGCGACGGGCGAAGGCCAAATATTGTCTGGTTATAAAAGAAATAAATTAAAACAAAGCATCTAACTCCACTTGAGCTATGATCAGTGTCGAATTCCCGAAAAAATTCAAATTAGAATCCAGGAGGCATAGCGCCTGTCATTGCTACCGTCAAATAAATGAAGTGGTAGCGCTAAAACTCTTCGTCACAAAGGAGTTGTGAGTGTAAATGCTACAACACCTAATGCTCCAACATGTTCGAACCAACAAATCCTCCTATTTAAGAAGACAAGTGACAGCAACAATCCATTGCAAAATCCCGACCCCAATGGAACTCTCCAAGAACTATCGTGCTCGGATATAGACAATTTGATAGACTAACTCACGACCGCAACAGATGGTGGCCACAAAAGCAGGGAAAGGAAACCAGAGGTGGAACAACCCACCGAATTCAGCAGCAAACCAAAAGCTCCTGCTCTAACTCCTTCATCGTAATTACGGACTTCAAGCGCGTCTCCCTTAGGATCACCTCTGTAAACTTCACGTCCCATCCAATCTGTATCGAATAGGAAGAATGGAAACCAGGATAGCTGCACAGCACATCACCACGTAAAGTTCAACCGTACGCCAACTAATTTCTCACTATGGACCCGCTATGGACCCTTCTTGCTGACGGATCATTTGGAAAGAGCAAACAAAACTAGGGCAAAATGTTCAATGAAATAAAAGCTTACCCAACATAAGGACATGACGAGAAGAACAGTTTTCATAGATGTTGGAAGCCGCCTCACACCCATTAGAAGGTTCATCATTACCGTTCCAGGTCCCACTCTGGATCCGACATTATTTTCATCCTTGTGAGACATAGCAAAACTCCGCTCAGCATGAGCACCAATGTCATAGGTTCTGTTGCTAACTTGCTGGAGTTCACCATTTACCATGACAAGTCGGCTGTCGTCTGGCTGTAATAGAAGAGAAGCCGCATCCTCGCCATGCTTTTTCTCTTCTGCGACGTTCTTTATGAGGGCCAAAGGAGTCTCTTTGGAAAACACTACCGTAACGATTGTACAAAGAAGCAAGAATACCTGAAAAGTTTGAATGTTATAGGCTGATATGACATAGTCGATCATTGATAATAAGGGTTGACTCAAAATCAGCATTTAACACATACTATCAGCATAGAAATAGTAATGATTCTCGGCCACACATGTCAGAAGGGTATCCAGTAAACTTACCACCGCTAAGAGGAATGCACCTTTCAAATTCCCGCAAGCCTCACAGCAAGCTTTGCTGGTAAGAAAAGGAAACCACCTGAATAGAAAGAAAGGAAAAACTCAACTCTGTCAACTCTGTCAACGTTAGCAAAGTATTCACTCAATAACCGAGAGCAGAAGAGGTGTATGACGTACTTGGACCATTGACCACTGGCCCCGGCTGAAAACCCAAGAATATTTCCGAATGCCATCCACAGCACAAATATCGAATTTGCAGCCTCTCGTTGTCCGGATCCTGCATATTACAAACCTCACTGTTGTTAGAAACTAAACTACTGCTGCTCAATGTCCCAATGTGGACAAACCTCGAGTAAGAATTTGAACATCTATACATCTAATAACATTCAAAATATGTCTTGCCAAGTTTGTTACCTGCTAGATCGGCCAACAAAGCGCGAGCAGGACCCTGTTATCAAAGCAGTCAACAAGTAGATAACGTCAGATTATATTGCTTGCTTACCTATTCCTTCAAAAGTATATGAAAACCAGTTGGCATTTCAAGCGGAACGTATAAATGAGTTCAAAACTTACAGACCTGCACAGTGTTGTTTGCGAGGTCGAGTAACCAAAATCCAAGTATAAAAACAGCGGCTGCCCTAGGCCTTAACCCTTTGTATGATCTGTTGCAGCAAATAGTTCCAAGGTGTCAACTTCATCACCCCCATTTTTCACAGATAAGTTCAAACTGTGACTGCTGTATCAGTTATGAATCAGGACAAGAAATATCTGCGCAGTCCAACAACTCCCAGAGCAAAACATAAGGAGCGGTCCTTGACTTGATTGATCTCTTGATACTAAGTTGTCTTCGGAAATGCTCTCAGCGAAATAATAGTTCAAACTAGAATACGGTGAAATAAAATTCAGCTTGATACGTAACGCAACCAAGAAGATATCTGTAACATCTGATACTAATCACACGATAAAACCTTCTTTGCTGAGCAGTTTGCCCAATCACATGTAGCTTAAAAGGATAGGAGGATGGATGAAGAATATGATAACTCACTCGCAGCTTTCATGTGTGTCTCCTAATACGTAGCCGATATCTGCAGAAAATCCTATAATTATGACCTGATTACAAGCTGAATATTAGGAGACACGAGACAGAACGATCGATGGGCAAAAATTGCTGCTTTCCCTAAAGAGGTACCAACTTTCAAACTACTTCTACGAAAAAAATGAAGCACGAGATATCGCGAACCAGACTATCTTCCAAAGCTTCTAAGGGTTGGAAAACCCGATGCGTAAAGACGGCTTTGGGCTCGATAATTCAAAGTTCGAAATACAGTCTAGATCATCACCACAATGGACTTATGCATGTACTAATTTTGAGTACGTAGAGATTTAAAAAATGAATCCAACTGCATAAGAAAAGCCCATCGCATTGAAGGGGAAACGCCAAAAAGGAGAAAATCCTATAGCGTTGTTACTCACAGAACATGCAACCATGAGCGCTCCAGTTAAAATAAATGGGCGCCTGCGACCCCATTTGGATTTGCACTGGTCACTCCAAATTCCGATACACGGCTGAGCCTATAAACCAAAAACCTTACAAGTCAGAAGTTTCTCCACCCGACTCCAAGGGCCATTGTATATTTTATATCGCTCATAGTTCAAATGAATACGACATACCATCCGTGCAATCAGCTACCAGGATCCACATTGCAACTACAGCTTGGAAGTCTTATGTTAATGATAAAGAGGATGTTAAAAACCCAAGGAAGGAAAAGCTACTAAAACAATAAAAGTTATGCTCTATCCACTAACAGGAAAGAAAAAGTGTCCATCGTATGTACAAATTTTATGTTGCTCCATCAAAAGACAACTACTTCGTTTATGAAACAGAAAATTTGTGAGACCAAGAGCAACCGTCTGCAACCGATCAGACCTATTCCACGCCCATTAGACTAGCTTTCAAATTTGTGTTCTCCACCTACTGTCAGAGAGAGAAGAACTTAACTTCCAACTACTTTCAAAAACTCGAAGTCCAAAATTGTAGCCCTGGATTTTGCAGTTTTTCACAGTTGATTCTCAGAGGTAACACAAAATACTTCAGCATGGTTACTGATTGAAAATTTCCATAAGTTACACATACAGAGAGGGAAAATTGAGCTCAGCCAATCGTTGAAGTATAAAGTTTTGTCAGTAAATAAACCTTACCAAAAGTCCAGTGATGGGACCACAAAGCCATATAAATGAGGCGAATGCATGCTCTATACCCAATGTCTGCATTTAAGCAACGATAGCCACAGTCAGATGTAAAATTATAAATCATAATAAAACCAAAGAGCAGCTCGTTCTCTAGACATTTTGACCTAAAATTAGTGTCTTCTTACTTCACAACATTGTGGACAACGTGATTTTCTCAAATTGCTCTTCTTTCGACTTACCTTCTGGGCTACATGAACAGCTGATCACTCTGTTGCATAGATGGCTTGTGTGAATCTCGGAAGCTGGCCCATGAAAAACGGTAAGCCCATCTCACAATTGACAGGATAGTAAGGAAAATATGTAACTGCTACATGGACGCAACACTAAAACCATAAACCTTCATCAGACTGACCTGTATATAGGGCGTCAGGAGCGACAATTGCAGTGCCCATCCGAACTGAATCCCGGCTGCTATCATCGACGACAAAGCTAAAGTGATCAACGGCAACTTGGGCTGCAAATCAACGCCTTCCGAGGGTTCCGATGCACCAACTTGGTCATCATCGGATTCCCTTAAACCTGGCCTATCCTCATCATCAATATGCTCAGTGGCTACGATGGTGGCAAGTTCTATAATTCCAGATTGCTGCTTCTTCGGCAAGGGCCCATCTCTTTCTTGAAGCTCCATTCTTAACAACGCTTGATATGGACCCCAAACAGCACTTTTCCTCAAACCGGCTCTAAACGGAGCGCGAATTCGGAGCTTCCAGCTTTCCGAAAAATTCCTCAATCCATCACCAAGAAAAATTTCCAAATCTCCTCATCCCAGTGCACTGCATCGGACACATTCTGCCACCTTCACCAATCTAACGCCGACGCCAATCTGGACCGTACTCATCGTCCGCTCTACCCAACCGACCTGACCCATCCAGCCATCCGCGAGGAATGCACAACCATCCTCAGATGCTAATTCGAGAATGGCACCCAGACCCCAAAAACAAACACCAGCCGAATCCAAAACCTCGGAAATAACTCTGAGACCGATTCAAGCGCGCCACCGCCCCGCATCTCGAAGGATCGTCCTCGTCCTCGTCCTCATCGGAGGAACCGAAATCATGGCCGTCATCCGAGCTTCCGAGGGTGCATCATCAGTCCATCCCAACCGCCAGCCAGCCAGCCAACAGAGCGCGCTGCTTCACATGTATAGTCGATGCCTGCGCAGTACTGCGCCGTACTGGGGTCCTGTACTGGCAGGCCGAGGAGCATGAAAGCGCCCGCCCGCGAGCGCGAGCGCGATCTTCAGCCCCACTTCTTCTTCTCCTCCTCCCTGCTGCTGCTCTCGCACCACCAGGTGGCCGATTCACAGTGGCTCCGCAATCCTGCCAAGGTGGAGCAGCCGCAGCAGCAGCAGGCAGGAACCTGTCACCTGCACCTCCATGGATGGCTCGAGCCTCGTCCTCGTCCTCGTCCCCCCCCTTCGATGATCGAGTCAACTCCCCGCTTCACAGATGGCGCGGGCGCACGATTATAAGGCGGGCTTGCGCCTTCTCCACCGGCCTCCGGTCACGGGCCGCCCGGCCTCGCGCTTCGTGGGCTTGGGCTTGGGCTTGGGCCAATCTTTTGCGTCTTAGGCGTCTTTGGCGTCGCGCTTTTCCGGAAATGGTCGTGGTGTAGCGAACGGCCTCGTCCGGGAGCGCCTGCCATTATTGGCCCGACGCAGCGAACCGGCGGGTCACGGTGATGTTCGGTGCGGCCCTACCGGCGCCTCTTTGTCCGCTGGACGCTCGGCGTGCCGCACGGTTTGCATTGCCCTCCCTCGCTGCGCGGGATCTTGTTTTCTTCGCCTTCTCGCGAGGCGGAGATCGCGATTTCGCTCCTTGATGGATCCCCTCCCCCTTCGCTTCGAGCTGTTCCCAAGGCCTGCGAATCGCGAATCGTTGGGCCCCGTGCATTCATCCTCATTATTTTCGGATTCCGTTGTGACTCTCGTCTATTTTGCTAAATAAGGTCTCCCAAATAAAATTATCGCATTTGAGTCAGCGAACACTCGGAACGAACATTCGGCCCCTTGCCCTCTTATCCCCCACATTATTTTCCGTATTGTACATCACACCTTCTATGGTCAAAAGAAATAAACATTTTCTTAAATGCATGTCGCATCTCCTTTTTCATCGTGATAGCTTGATCCGATGATGTTTCTTGCTGGAATGAACAAAATTGAAAAGCATGAATAATTAAAACATGTTCAGATTTGCTGAAAAATATAATTAAGTTGTAGTGCTTTGGCTTTCATGCACATATGCTCTAATAATAGGGTGACATAAGGGTTCAGATTCCAACACTAAAAAGTTTGGGCAAAGCTCTTTATGCATTGCTCATCACACTTTTGCCTCGTATTAGCTCAGCTTTATACAATATTGTCTAGTTCTAGTTGATGCCCTATATTCTCCCACCCACTACATGAGTTGTGGGCAGTGCTTGATGATGTTGTTTTCAACTTTTTAACCTTTGGAGATCTTTTCTATCGCATTCGCAGAAACAAATCTCTAGTGTGAATAACAATAGATCAGCTTGCTGGCAAGCCACAAGCGGGACGGAGTTCATCTCAAATCCCATCACTATTGAGTATAGTTTGTAGTATTTCAGTGCATAGAATTTTTAAGCCCCTTGATCGTGTATCATCTCATTATATATCAGTTCTTTAAAGGACATAGTTTATCCATGTTCATGCTGCTACACTCAACTTCCCTTGGTGAAAACCTACAAGATACTAGGAGTTGCCACGGATGAAAATCATTGCTGCTGATGTGTAGTGGGCCGTTTCCGTTTTGCTGCCAAATGAAAGAATGACTGAATGTTTGTCCAGCCCGTGTAGTGGGCCGTTTCCGTTTTGCTGCCGAGTGAAAGAATGACTGAATGTTTGTCCAACCTGTAGAGTTGTCATTGAAACGAGTACCAAAAGAAGATGTTTTGAGCATATGCAAAAATTTTGGATTTTGGACATTGATCAAGAAATGAAATCCTTTGGAATTGAAGCTACATAGCTGAAATGGTCAGATCTATTCTACTCTTTTTAGGAGAGTTAGGGTTAGGGCACCACGGCAGCGTCTAGTTAGAGTTACAAGGAGTTCTTGCAGAGGTCCACCGGCCAGGGTCACAGAGTGTTGGTGTCAGACTGCAGCCAGAATAAGTCTATTCCGCACAGTGTTGGACAGAGCGCCCTTTGACAGAGTCATAGTGAACCCATTTCATCGCAAAGATGGGGAGTTTCTACCTCATAAAACATTTTGTAATCATCAAAGTCTCTTGGTGCATGGCACTGTCTCCTTTAAAATAGATGAAGAATCATAGGCTACAGTACTTGAGGAGAATCTCACATTGACAACGCATGTCGTAATAGCATGCGTCGTCAATGGAGATCTCCATGACATAACTCTCAAGACATGGTGTGAGTTGTTGAGCAAAATTGTTACTTCAAGAAAGGTAATACTCCACCTACGAGTCAATACACATTATCTTTACGTATGGACTGATGTATATGACACCATCCACCGACCACTTACAAAAAGGTTCCATTTCCTCACTTAAGGCAAGGTGTTTTATCAAAAATGGACATAGAGCTTCAATCTGCGCATACCGCAAGTAATTCAATGATCAACGTGGATTTTCTTCTCGGAAATACCACTGGAATACCAAAATTTCACACATAAGGTAGCCGCTCAAGTGAGTCCGATATTGGCAATTCACGATGATGGTACATCAGCCTTGATCCCTCACTTCTACGTCAAAGTCAACACGAAGCACGGATGAATTTTGAACGGTGTAGAATATAATGCAACTCGCACTTCTGCGAGTTGCATTATATTCTACACCGTTTGAAATTCACACGTGCTTCATGTTGACCATCCCACTCTAGTATGATGCCCTGAAGCACAATTGCGGACTTTACGGGCATTACCACCATTCAATTTCACAATGTCACAGCTACCGCAAGGCTAATCAACAGCAGCGTATTGTTGGTACTCGGAATTGAGCCCCAAGAGGCAGGACAATCGCAGATTGTGATGGACAAAGTTTTCAAGCTCCACCTTCCCGACACGCAGTTGAACCTCCACATGAAGGCTTATAGCGCGCCCCTCATTACCGACCACGTCGCCGCAAGCGATCGTAGTGAAGTTCACCATGAAATCGGCAACCTCTCCTATCAAATGTCCAAGGCTTAATACACGTGGGAGAACAACGTCGCAAAACATCCCAATTCACCGTGGAAATTCCAAACACAGAAGTTCCAGATACACAGCTCAGCGCTCCAAGTGCCTGTCCAAAATATTTTGGGCAATAATTCAATCCTAGCGGCCTAGGTCGTCTGATAAATCTTTTGAAAGTTCACGAGGAGCAAAAAATTCAACCTCCAAGTCAACTAATAGTACAAGCATCGGCCACATGATGCATCCGAACATGGTTGAGAGATTGGAATGTGAAACCCCCAATTCTCCCTACCCCGCGAGTGAATATTGGAAAGTTCATGAAAAACAGTTTTCCTTTATAAGTGCAGTTGCACAGAACATTCTTTCTTTATCAGGTTCGGCAGTGGTAGTTGAACGTATTTCAATTGTGGACGCGATGTGATTGGGATACAAAGACACTCTCTTGCTCACTCAACTTTGAGTGCTCTGATGTTTGGAAAAAGTGTTTTGAAATGATTTACAATTAATAAAGTGTACAATTTGTTATTTCGTGAACAATTTTGCATTTTGTGATATTTTGCAATTTCTTTCAATTAATGCATCTACTTATTCTATCCATACAAAAATTTAGATTATTTTTGTATTGGAATTATTCTTGTAAATATTTGGCTGAAATATATTACTTGAAAGTCTAAGTGGCCTGTAGTAAATAGCGTCTGATAATTAAGTGTACTTATATTGATGATCAAAATATTGACCAATATGATTGGGAATAAAAAATAACAAAACTACTATGATGACTTTGCTAGAATATTCAAAGCACATTTTGTTGATATATATCAACATTTATCTTCAGATCAAATTATTTTCCAGATTAAATTTTGTGTACAAGACCATGTAGATAACAGAGCATACTTGACACTTTGGAATTTGCTCTGGTTATATCGTCATTCAAGATAGCGCTGTCATGATATAGCGGTCACACACAGTGGAATTGTTGTTTTGGACTTGCTCATTATTGGCTTTGCCATAAGATTATAGATTTATACCATGTTTATGAAGAATGAAAAATAAATTAACATAAATATTGAAATTTAATAATTAAATTTGATAATCCTGAAAATTTTGCGGTAAATAAAGTCATTTATAGAAAAAAATTTCAAATTAAGAATTTCCATTGGAATCTCATAAACATTTAAGTGTGAAATACAATTTTAAAAAGTAAAACAACCCGAATAAAATATATTTCATAATTAAGAATAGGGATTTAATCTACTTTCTTTTAGATTGATGATAATCCAAAAATTCTAATAACTTTGTATATTTTGAAATTTTATTTTCTAACAAGTGAGAATCTCAAATTTTTTTTAAATTAAAAAAAAATTCTTCTAACATGATTTTGTAATTTAATTAACATTTTTTGTCTTATTGAAATTTCCATAAATAATTGTAGAATTTAAATTGAAAATAGAATGAAAAATCATTGTACGCATTTATATTACATTAAAATAACATTAGAGCCGTTCAAAATTAAATTTAATGTTTGTATTGCATGTGAAATAACTATTGGGAATATCATAACATAAAAAAATGTAAAGAAGAAAAGTATGTATCAAAAAAATAAATTTATAATCATAACAAATTCATCTAAATTCAAACAAGAAATATACTTGTATATATATTATTTAATTAAAAATATCCTAAATGATGCCTAATATGATGTTGGTATTTATGGATTTTATGACTACTTTTTATAATTGCATAGATTATTTAAACCTCATTTGATTCATTTTGACTAAAATCAACATCAATATAACATTTTGACCATATGGATATTCCAAATATATTATTGGTATAGATTTGAACAAAATGAGTGAAATTTTGGAAATATTTTAGAAAATAAATGTTATTTTATCAACAAATAATTAATTAATTACTATATAGATATATCAAAAAAGTATACCCAAATATTCAATAGTTTTTATACAACAACAATGATATTATTGGAATATTATTTGAAAGAAATTAATAGCTTGAGGTATATATTATATTTCTGATGTAGAATAATGGAATGTTTTTAAGAAAAATATATAAAAAAAATTTGATTTTTTAACTTGAAAATTATTTAATAATTTCTTTAAAAATGAATTATTGGAATACTATTTGAAATAAATAAAAATCTTGAGGTATATAATATATTTCTAATGCAGAATAATGGAATTTTTTCAAGAAAAGTATATTAAAAAATCGATTTTTTATTTGAAAATTATTTAATAATTTCTTTAAAAATCAATTATTGGAATACTATTTGAAATAAATAAAAATCTTGAGGTATATATTATATTTCTAATGCAG